GAAATATTTGTCGCCAAGTTGCTCTGGTCAATTGGGAAACTAACAGATCGGATTTCGATAGGCTCACATTGGACTCCTCTGACCTTCGATGAACGGACGTGGGGTGCTTCGATTCGGGGCCTCGTCAAGTGGAACGCACCATCTTCGATTAAGCACAACGGACGTAGCATTGACCCCAATGCCGCCAATGCCATCACTACGACATCAGACGAGACATATGTTTTCGCCATCTGCCTCAACCACACCCTCAAGATCTGGAATCTCGCCACAAACAAGCTTGCCGCATCGCAGGATCTTCTCGGTCGCTCAATGGACCCCGATACCGTGCCCTATACCCTGAACCCCGCCGAAACCTCCTTCATTCGTGTATTTAACGCTGAGAGAGCTATGGATGGAGGGCATCGCTTCTACGTGGTTACATATTCCCCCTTCGAAGATGGGCGTTTCAAGTTCTGGGCTGTCAAGGGCGGTCTGACCTCTGAGCTTGTTATTGAGGACATCTATGCGGACTCTGTGTTTAGACCCGTGGATCCAGATGTAACGGGCAACATGTTCTGGAGTATTGCGGACTTCCAAGTCAAGCCGGTGGAAGAAGGGAGGGGAATGGAGCTGTGGGTGCTGTGGAGAAACCACGGCCTCTACCAGCTATACACACTTCATTTTGACCTTCAGACTTTGCCTTCAGACTGGAGTACCAACTGGGTCTCCACAGCATATGAGACTCACCGACAAGAACCCTTGCCATTGCCGACACTTGATGATGTGGTTGACCCCACCGAGAGGTGGCTTGCATACATCTTGCACCCGAATCGATATCTCCCCGAAGTTTTGGAGACTGCTCTCGCTGTATACCAAGAAGCCCTCAAGCCTTTGTCTTCATCATCATCCGGTGTCTTGAAGAAGGATGTTGCGTTACCGGAGCGGCTCTGTTCAACCATTGCAGCAACTGTATCTCTCCGCAAGTATGCAGATGATGAGATGGACTACTCTCGGTTCCGCATGGACACAGATGCTAAGTGGCGTCAATTCTGGCAAGTCGCCGAGGACCTCAACAAGCGCCGATTCGAACCGGTCTCCCTCGGCTTCGACTCTTTCTTCGATATGCCATGGCTGGTCCTGTCAGATTCTTGTGCTGTGATTCGCGAATGTAGCACCACTGAACTGCTTTTCCACAATTCTGCATCGGAACTCAGCGAGGAATCACCAAAGATTGTGGATCGCCTTAGACATCGAAATATCACTTCCGAACTTGGAAATCTTTACGAGGAGGCATCGTCGTTGATGAAGATTGCTTCGGATTTCAGGAAGCGGTTCTCTGCTGAACTCGATGCGGCCTGCCGCGCTGCTCTGGATACAGAGCTCTTCAACGAGCCATCATCATCAATCGCCGACCGCATGGATAGTTTCAGGGAACGTTGTGAGTTTGGCGAACAAATTTCCAACAAGACCTTCGACGGCTTAGTCGCGGCTTTGAATGAGTACTTTGATGCCGAGAATCTGCCAACTGGTGTCTTCGACGCCATAATTGATACGCTTCCTCTTGGATTCAAGGGAGAGGATTCGAATCTCTTGACAACATACTTCGGTGGCAGGCTAGCTGTCAGCGGTGCCCTTGAGGCGATCACCCAAAACCGCCAAATTCTCTACGACTTGTTAATTTTGGTCACTTTTGTGGATTCCGAGCTTGAACAGGGAGCACGGTCCACCTTTGATGCTGCCAGGTTGTTCTCCACCATCATTGATCTCCTTCACGAATACGAAATGATGTACTGGCTCAGCTCTAATGTTCGAAAATGCACCGATCGTATCAACGCAGCCACTGGAGATCAATCTGTCTTTTCACTGAAGGACAACCAATCGAAAAAGACCCAGCGAACAGCCACCATTCTTGAAGACCTCTTCGTTTCAGACATCAAACCTCGTCCACCTGTCGACCGACCACAAAGCTATACTTTGACCTTGGGAATCCGGGATCTCCTGGCTTGGATAACCCGGCAAGGCCAAGTGGCGTACCCCAACGCATTGACTCATATCCAGTGCGACCTTATTGCTAAGAACGATATCGATCTCGCATGGGACTTTCTACGTTTCCAGCCCAGCACTTCCTGGGCAACCTACGTCAAGGGTCGCCTGTACGTTGCGATGTCTGAGTTTGACACTGCAGCTATATTCTTCCGGAAGTCGGCGTACCTCCTTTGTAAGTCTCCTCTTGATTGGGCATGGGAAAACAAAGGAAATGATGACACAAGCAACTAACTTCCACTGCAGCTCATGGTAAAGCTTTAGGTAACCTGCACGAAATGTCGGCTACTCTCCTCGACCTCGTATCCGTGAACTGCTTCTACAATGGTATTCCGAGATACTACCAGCATATCCTTTCGATTTTCGAGCAGGCTCGATCCTTTTCGCATGTCGCGGATTTTGCAGCCTTGGCCCTACAAGCCCTCGATTCCCAGGCATGGTCCGAACAAGATCCGGAATACAGCAACATGCGATCGGATCTACTTTCGCGGCTCTTCCACGCTTCTCTGCGGACTTGCCAATTCGACCAGGCTTACTCCGCCTTGGCTCGCTACCAGGATTTTGCACTACAGAGATCCGCGCTCAGCTCCCTCGTCTCTACCATCTTCTCTGTCTGCGGACCAGGCACTGCTGGTCTCCAGCAAATCCTCCGCTTCCCCGTCTCGCTCGTTCCAAACATCGCCTCACACATCGACGAGATCCTTGTCTCCCTCTCCCGGAAACAAGGCAATTTCTCCTCCTGGCTAAACACAGACAACAAGGATGCCGACGGCTCGCCAGACTACCACCGCGTCCTGCAGGCATACCGCATCGCCCGCAATGACTACCGCGGTGCGGCAGAAATTGCCTACTGCAACGTACAGCGCCTCCGCCAAGCAAGAGATACCCCGTCTTCCGCCCTCGCCCATCGAAACAAGAAGGAAGCCGAGGAAGCCGGCGTCCCAGAAGACGACACCGAAAGCAAGGAAATCCGCCACGAACTCCTGTCACTGATCAACCTGCTCGCATCCGTCGACAAGAGCGAGGCATATATCCTAGTTGAGACCGGTCCCCTCGCATCACCCGCCACGGCGAAGTCTCAACAAAACCGTCGCGGCTCGCACGATGATGACGGAAACGTCTTTATGGAAGACGCAGACGTAGGTGGCACACCTACCTTCTCCGCCCGTCGCAGGTCCTCTGCCAGCAACGCCTCATTCACATCCGCCGGTCGCCGAGGTAGTCTATCGTCGATCGGCAGAGGACATGGCAGTGTCTCCGCCAAACCAGTTATAGAAGCTCCTCAAGAACGCGTCATCGTCACACTTGAGCATCTGCGACGCGAATACCAGTCTGAACTGGACCGTATTAGTCGGATTGAGCGTGGGGACTGGGAATTCGGTCTTTTGGGGGATGGGGATGGGGATGGGGAGAGATTCGATAATGATGAAACGATGGTTCTGTCTTAGGGTGGTAGAATTATTCGATGTTCTGATCGGGGTCGGAGTCTGATCTGATCTCATCTGGTTTTGGCTTGGTAGTTAGATGTATGTGGTCGGACCTTATGTCTGTTTTATTACTTTTTTCCCCCTTCTCATTTTTTGAGTGTGACTGAAAGTTGTCATTGATGGAGTTGAGCATATTGCTGAGATAAATTCTCTTGTTTTTTATTTCTTCTAGGGTTCATAGGGTAGTTTTTGTCTTTCGGTGGTACGAATAGGATGAATGTTCGTGTCCGAGTGATTTCAAATTTCCATCATTAAACTAAGACTTCGGGGTGTATCGCAATTGGAGGATTTCTAAAGTTAAAATTCCAAGCAAAGAAGGAGTAGGTAAATTTCTTGATAACTTCAAGTTGAATTTGGCCTTTCTGGAATTAAACTCCAGGGCTACTAGTCTCAACCTTGAACTTGAAGATTCAAGGGTCATCGAACGCCCGAGGAAGCATTCCAAGGTTCAAACCTTGAAATGTCAGGCTGGAGTAGGTGTTCTCCAGATGGATCTAGCCTTAGAACCTTGTTAATCAAATTAAGTCTGGCTCGATGTTTGCCTAAATACTAATTAATCTAGTACTACTGCTCACCTGGTATTTATATTGATCCCGAGGATGGTACTAACCTTCAAGTTGGAAGGTAGTATAACATACTGACTACTAGCAGTACTAGGTTGTGATATAGTAACTATGCCCAGATGGGCACAGATATATAGTAATATCTGTTAAATCAAACTTGAACTTGATTTATAATCGTACACCTCGGCGAAGAAGCAAAAAAATGCCAGGACTACTAGTAGTAATTAAGCTCATGGGACAAAGCAAATAAAGCTAATCGTACCTACATTGCAAACGATGATGATGCACAGCATACTCTATGTATACTGGGAGTATTCGCGACCTCAGGATGCCAGTGTTTATGGAGTCAATGCTTCGCGCATGATTCAACCGCTTCTTGTCAGACTAGTACTGGTACCATCTCAACATTCCTACTATTACATTTGAGGAGCAAAAAATTCAAGCAGAGAGTGGTATTACATATAAATGCATTGATTGATATTCAAGACAATTCGCTTGATTATCATTAAGAGTAAGAGTAGGCAAACAAAGTCACCTCTATAAACAGCCCACCCCAATTCTGCCCGAGCGTTTAACTCCATTTTCAGAGTTCCAAAAAGGTTAAGGAAAGTCATGTTGCAACCAGACCATAAAACAAGTGATAGTGAAAGAGAGTCAAGAAAGGCATAAAAATCGTACCATGAGAAGAAGAAAAAAGGTGAAAATACAAAAGCGCCTGGTTAACAATTCAAATATGTTGGGAGGGCATTGAAGTTCGATATGTACCGCATGCCAAACGGAAAGCGAGAAAAAAAAAGCATCCGAAGAAAAAAGGTTCGCACACCAATTGGGACGGAGGTTAAGGCTCAATCTGTGCAGTGCCATGAGAGAAACAACTCATAACAAGAATTACAAGAAACGGGTAAGTGTCGTGTCATGAACGTCCTCTTCAGTCCGTGTCCTCGGTGGCCATGGAGTTCGAGTAGAGTTTACTGAAGTGAGACTTTGGCTCTGTGAGGAGGGCGTACGGCTCCCCTGTTTCGACGATTTGACCTGCGTCCAGCACCACGACGCGGTCATAGTCGAGAATCGTGTCAAGCTTGTGCGCCACTGAGATGATGGTGTGGGTGCAGAACTTCTCGCGGATGACGCGTTGCATGATTTCGTCGGTCTTGGTGTCAATGCTGTTTTGACTTGAGGTTAGCAAGCGGGCTTTTTTTTTTGTGTTTTCTTGGATGGTTTCCCGAGGGATTTGCGGTAGCATGCAAGGGGGTTTGGGGGCTTGATTAGCTGGTGCGAAGCCAACCGACCGATCCGAGCGTGATGTGGCGTCCGGATGAGGCCGCATATGCAGGGGGGATGACAGGTGCGTCAGACGCGTGGAGACAGGGAATCAAACGGAAAAGGGCCAAAAAAACGAGAAAATGATGAAGAAAAAAAGAATTAAATGACAAGAGACAACAGGTGGAGCGGTGGATGCGAGGGTGGTAAAGTCAGGGGGTAGAAACAATAATTCGGGTACTCACTTGCTGGTTGCCTCGTCGAGGATGAGGATGTTGCCCTGTCGGAGAAGAGCGCGCGCAAGACAGAAGAGCTGTCGTTGACCATGAGACAGGTGGATCTCGTCGATGTCGGTGTCGAGATCCCCCTTTTCTTGGATGGCTGGGAGGAGCTGCACGCTTCGCAAAGCGTTCAGGATGTCCCTGTCTGTGCAGACTCCTGTTGGGTCGGCATTGTTCCGGACACTTCCCTTGAAGAGGAGTGAGTCTTGTGAGACTCCATTGATGCGAGAACGGATTTCCCGTCTTGGTAGGCGGGTGATGTCGACGCCATCCACCGTGATGGTTCCACCGGTCAGCTCGATCATGCGGAAGATGCTCAAAATCATTGACGTTTTCCCACTGTAACCATGTTAGATCGGACTAGTCTATACCAAAATATGATGATGTTGCCTACCTGCCAGTTCGGCCGCAGATGCCGACCTTCTCACCTGCTTTCACAGATAAGGAAACTTCACTGAGCACTGGTTCAGAGGGCCTAGATGGATATGTTAGAATCTAGTTCAAGTGGGAATTCAGTGTAAGGATTGATACCTGTAGGCTGCGGAAACCGAGTGGAAGGTCACGGCGCCATTTGAAGGCCAGTTGGGAGGGATTTCGCCGTCTTCACCAGGCCGGTCTTCCGATTCGACACCCTGGCTGAATTCCTTCACGCGCAGGATAGAACCAATATGGGTCTCCAGATTAGTCCAGAAAGTAACCATAAGCTTGATACTTTGGCTGAACTGGATGACGTTGAGTAGGGCAACGCCGACAGAGCCGGCACCCAGGTTTGTCCCACGAAGGATCACAACTAGAATGATCAGGAGGACTGCGATACCAGCGACAATCAGATCAAGTGACAGAGTCAACCAACGCTGAATGGCGAACATGTAGTAGAAAGGTCTCTGGGAGTAGTCTAGAAGCTCGATATTCTTCTTTTCCATTCCGTGTTGCCAGCCGAAGGCTCGTAGCGTAACCAATCCTTGGAGACAATCCGTGAAGTGAGAATAAAGAGGTGCCTTGGCCTCGAGGTCCAGGAAACGGATTTGACGCGAAGTGCGCAAGTACATCTTCTGCACGAGGAACAAGACACCAAGCACGAAGGGGAACGAAATAGCTGCGTATTTAGAGCCAACTCCGATCAGTGCCATCTGAGCTAGACAGAGAAAAAATGTGACGACGGTGTTAATTGCGGCAATGGGGAGCTCCATATCAATGAGCTGCAAATCTTGACTGAAACGGTTAAGAATGTTACCACTGTCAGTTGTGGAGAAGAAGAGCATTGGAGCACTGAGAACCGTGGATAGAAGCCTGCGGTGGAAGCTCTCCCCAGACTTGGGCACCATAGTGATAATCATCTGCCAGCAGCCAGCGATGAGGGCCAGCATAGCGATACAACCGAGCATCACATAGATACCAAGATAGTGACCGATATGCTTCTTTGGCTCGGCCATCTCGGCAAGAGCCCACCACTTCAGCCAAATACTGGGAAATGAAATACAGAAGACAAATCCAGCCATTGAAATACCGAATATGATAGCAGGGAGCCAGCCGATCGCGTTGATGTAGTAGGTGTAGATGGAGAGATCACCGCCCATATCGCGTTCAATCGGCTCAGGTTCTATGTCTTCCTTCTCCTTCTCAATAGAATCAACGGTGCTGTAACTTGGCGAGGCAGAGAAGCGCTTGGGCTTGTAGTCCCAGTCCGGAGTACCGAGACCAAAGCTTGCTACATAGCCACCGGTCTTGTTGAGAGCACTGAAAGGTCCTTGTTCAGCGATGCGACCGGATGATTCCAATACGACAATGTGATCAGCGTATGGTAGGCGCTTCACAGCAGAAGAGGCAACAATGATAGAGGTTCCAATCTCCCGGAGAAGTCCAAGGTCACCAAAGAGGCTGTGAAAGATGTGGTTCTCGGTAGTGGCATCCAAGCCACTCAAAGCATCGTCCAAGATGATGATCTTGCGTCGAGCGTAGACAGCGCGAGCAAGAGCGATGCGCTGGCTCTGGCCACCACTGAGTGCGATGCCCTTGCTGCCGATAATACTGCGATCACCACGAGGGAACTGACTAAGGTCCTCCTCCAAGGCACATGCTTGGATGACAGAGGCATACCACTTAGGGTCATAGTCGGACATGGCAACGATGCTGTCCTTGATAGCACCGTTCATGTGCCACGGTGTCTGATCACAGAATGCCACGCTTGCCGAGTTCAGCTCAACCTTACCCTGAACCGGGGAGATTTCTCCCAGAAGGGCCTTGAGTAGAGTCGATTTACCGCATCCAGATGGTCCAATGAGCATAGTGAAGCTGCCACGAGGCACAGTGAGTGTGATGTCCTTTAGGAGAGCTTCCTTGTCGGCCTCCCATGCGAATGTGCCATTTTGAATCATGGCAGCATTGGTCGAGGTGCTGGAGGTGGAGCCACGCTTCAGCGATTCCACAGAGGCGGAGTTGCTAGAGGCCAAGTCAAAGTCGCCAGACTTAGAGAGAAGCTTTGCCTCGCCAAGATCTTCCAGAGAAGGCATCTGGGGAGTGTTGAGTCGCTTGTCCGAGTGGTCCTCTTTATCCAAGAAGTCTTGGATACGGGCGAAAGAACCGACCGCGCCAAAGAAAGACATAAGAGCCATAACGAGGGTGAGAAGGGGGTCGGACAAAAGTGAGAATAGCGAAAGTGATGTGAAGACTTTGGTGACATCCAGAGTCTGGTCGGAGATGGCGACATAAACACCGAAGGTAAAGATCGGGGCGAAGATACGAGTCATCCATGCAAAACCCATGTTCCAAACAAGCAGGGTACGAAATTTTTTTGAGATATTCAGCTCATCAATGCGAAGACCATGCACAAAATTCATAAGAGTGTTTTGAAGTCCGAGCATCTTCACTCCCTTGATGGATCCTAGCATGGTAGATGTGCAAGCGATACGTCTTTCAATGGCTTCAAGCCACTGAGCTTGCCGAGGAACGACAAAAGACATCATGATAAATGATCCAATGAGTGCCACGAGAGCAACACAGACTGGGACCACGCAGGAAATGCCTAGTTGAATCTCTAGCAGATATACTGCTAGAGCAATCTCAATTCCATTGGCCCAGATCTCATGCATCGTCTGCCATCCTTGAGTAATTCTCTCAACATCAGCGCTCATCAGTGTCAGAGAGTTAGCCGAACCGGCCTCGTTCAAACTCAGACAGCTGGCTTTCTTGTATAGCATGGTGACAAGAATTCCTCGCACCATGGTGATACCCCGGTAAGTGTTGTGCTGGTACTGGCCCATTGCGACCGCCAAACCAGTGTATACGAGAATGTAAGCACCAATGAGTCCATAACCCACATTATTGGTGGCACTGTTAACAGGCTCACTGAAATAGGAAATCGATCGTGTCAGGAGCAGAGGCTGGCAGACATTGAAGGCCACGACGAAGGCCCTGGCGGGTATGGCGGCGAGAAGGGGGCCTTTGGTGGCCTTGAACGACTCCAATTGCAGTGTGTTTGCTGACTTAGATTTCACTAAAGGGAAGTGTTAGCAGAACTCTTCAGATAAGGTATTGAACAGAATGTAATTACCTTTGCTCCATCGTTCTTCGAATAACGCGAGTAGTCGCTCGGAACTGAGCTCCTTGTCCAAAACAGAGAGATCTTCGACGGATAGAGTGTTGCTGAAACCATTCTTAAATAGAGGGTTTAACCACCAGAAAGTTGCTTTGTTATATAGGCCAGCGGTGGCTTCCGGCGGGTAATCGGCGAACTCATGTTTCAAGATTTTCCGCTTCTCAATGGCTTCGAGAAACGCGAGGAGAAGTTTTGCACCGAGGGAGACAGTAGTAACAATTGCAATACCATCATTAAAGCTGTTGACCGAACGGAGCCAGAGAGTTCTGACTTTTGCGATATCAAAAAGGAGACTGACAAGCAGGTAGGCGTTCAGAATGAGGGATGGTTTGACAGAGCGCGTATGTTCCGCGTACGACAGCAGAACGAGGAAAAAAGCCCCGACTGCAAAGACAGCATTGGCCGCTATTGACGCTTTCGTTCCATCGGCAGAGGGAAGGGCCCAGAGGGCAGTCAGGGCGATTTGGAGTCCAGCAAAGAATACCCAGGCAGTCTGCAATTGCAAGGAAAGTTTGTTAGTTAGATATATAGTATGCGGATATGGGACATGGTATTCAAAGACAATTAGTCCCCGGGGATAGACAAGACTACTAACCAATTTAGAGAGAAAGAGCGACGAGCCTTCAACCTTGCGGCTTTTTTGTGCAAGTTGCGCAAGACGAAAGGGGACCAGAATTAAGATTAGAGCAATAGGGAGGATACCGAGAATAGTTTCTTCAAAAAGGAGAGAGAAGTCGAAGCCTCCGCGGCACGAACTAGCATCAATACAAAAAGTATTGTCCAGATCGTGACACGAAGGTCCTGATGAGCTCGAAGATGCCATGACTACTCTTCAGGTACCATCCAAAGGTGTCGGAAAGATGGATTGAAGAGAGTGTCGAGGAGCGGAAGCACCACGAGTCGTGTGGCTTGACAGGTCAGAGAGAGCGAGAGAAAGTCACGACATGGAAGTAAGACTAAGGTGGGAAAGAAAGCGGCGAGTTGGTGGTCTTTTGGTCTAGATTTGATTCATCCAAAATGCGGCTTTCGAACTGTTCCCCTCTAGGACGCATCCCTCGGCACAGGAGCTTACTACACTGCATCCAGGAGTACTTCACTCCTGAGCTCCTATACTGGGTCCCTGCAACCGAGTGGGCTTCTGATGCAACCCTCTTACAATGTCATTACTGACAATGCCCTATGAACACATCGTCGCATACAGTAGCCTCGTTCTTAGTGGGGAATTACGGCCCTACGGACAAAGATTTTTAATATTTTCATCCGTTCTATTCCTTGTAATCGCGTGTACATACTCGCAAGCTAAAATTTTATTTTAATTTTCCATATTCCGTTTTATTTTCATTTACTTGAGAAAGATACTTCTCTACCATGCAAAATGATCAAATGACTCAATTCATATCCAGGGTGAACTTGTTAATTTCCTTGTTATTTTTTGGCTATTATTTTCGGATTTCCTCTTTAGGGATGTGGGGGACGCAGAGGCGTCAATAGAGCTTTGCCCCTCGAGTCAAATGGGCACCACAACAGTTCTCAGACAGCGAGATCGTCCGACCAACACGAGGGAGAGTCGGTGGCCTTGCCTTGCAGGAAGAATTGCAGCCAATATCTGATCTGTATTCTTTCGAAGTAAAATTTAGCGACTCTCCTTCGGGCCAAGTCCACTGCCGAGCGCAATAAAACTTATCTTCATGCGAGGGCTCTTCCACTTGTATGATGTATGCCCTAGGCCTATCCTTTGGGCGATCCCTCACACTAACCGCTTTAGTAAATTTCCTGGTTTTTAGATTCTTATTTTTTACGCTGCTCTTTTTGGATCTACTTTCCTCCCGCCCTACAGTTGTCCAACTGAGACACTGCAGCAGTCTTTGTGAACCTTCCTTGACCGCATAGAAGCGAAGCTGAAGTCAGACAGAATGCTGCCCAAGGCCATGGGCCTCGCCGTACTACCGGCGACTCGGTGTAGATGCGAATTATGTATCAGGTGTATCCTTTGCGTCGGAAAAGCCTCAGCTCGGGTAACTCGCAGATAGTAACTGGGGGTAATATACACGCTATTCTGAAGGTTCCATTTTTTGCCGTGTATACGCTGGGGCAAGATCTTTCCACATACTCGTAGACTCATCTGGCCCGTGGGTTGCAAGTCTGGCAACTCCGCGGGGCACACCTCCATCAATTGTCTGCTGTAGAGCTTCATTCTGGCCTTCTACTCCGTATTGCGAACGTACTCCGTACCCTTCTCGGATAGCCTCCGCTTATATCCACATATCGCCTCCACCAAATGGGGCCGGGGTCTGCTTTTCTCTACGTACCCGCAGAAGAACAAGAAGCCGGGTTAAACCCGGCCACTATTTTTGTCGATGGGTGAAAAGATCAAGTCCAATCGTCTCGGCTTGCTAGTCGGCCGTGAAGGAACTGCTCTAGCAATACCTGGTCGGACGAGACCGCCGGGTCAAATTCAAATTCAGCCATTCTAGTCGTGACCGGCATGGCGAGACAACGCGCATGCGAGACGGCGTGCGTGGAGTCCTTGTCAGCGAATCTCGATGCATACCCAGGGTCCAGTACCTCACAGATTAAGAGCCTTGTGGTTCACCTAGAGAGTGAGGCGTCTGTGGATTGACTGGGATGGATCCTGTTTTGAATCGACGGCATGGTTGATGGGTGGCAAGAAACTGAGCAGTGGATACATGGTACTTTTTACCCCAAAGACCCAGTGTGAAGGTGAGCGTTTTGGGGGAACAGATAAAACTAGTAATGCATTAGAGAAATACGGAGTAGGAATTACAAATCCTCTCTTATGCGCATACTTATTATTGCAGGCTGGAAGCTGCGAGTTCCGTCAGTTTGCCCAGGTGGGCTGATACTAGTATGTACAAAGCCCTGAGATATATATTTCTGGCACTCCGACTCCGCTGAAATAAACATCAATATCGCTGCTAGTTCTCCGCCAACGGGAAGATCTGATCGATCTGATTTAGACCTATCACTATGGGAGGCCTAGCGGGATCAGCACCATGGTCTGTGTTCTCATGTATGTACCTATCGTATGTGTTGTGGTTGTGGACCCTAACTGATGCGGGCGCTACAAGTTTAGTGCGGGTTTAGTTCTCCTCTGGAGGAGCCGTATGGCTTTCTTGGGTTTCGCTGAATGGCTCTGCCACCTTCAGATTCACCACTAACAGCCACTAACCAAGGCATCACTGGCAACCTCCCAGTTCCCGTTCGCCTAGCCCTCTCTAGTGTCCTTAGTTTCCTTAGCACGCTCCGTGTGGAACCCCATCAGACGTGGCCCAGGTCCTCATCGGTCGTCAACCCAAAATGAGCGGCCGGCAGCTAATGCCGGACAAGGATTTGCAAGCCTCTAATTCACCTAGTGGGTAGGAAGTCGACGCCTCCACGCCTCCCCGAGTGATCGACCGTAGACCTTCTAGAAGTTGACATGTTTACCCCGACGATCTTACGAAGAAGGGCCTAGAGTAGAAAAATGTAGCGAAAGATGGGGAAGTACATACTGTGGGTAGATACGGAGTAGAAAAACAGGATTCGGAAAAGAAAAAGGAAAAATGGGCCACATGGACGGGGGAATTTCTGGCGTACGAGAGTCCTCCCTGATGTCCCGCATTCCGGGATCAAATCCTACAAGGAAAAGCAACGAGGCTTGCCAAAAGTAAGCGAGGTTGCGATCGGATGGAACTGTATCTCCGCTCAATATGCGTTCCTAAATTAGGATCAAACAGGGAACCGGTTCATAGAATTGATTTTACCCCTGGTTTGATAAATTAATCGAAAGGCCGGTCGAGATCATTTTTTTTTGACGTGTATGACGGGGGACTGAAGAAAACCACAATGTGAGCCCTAGGCGCTGGGTACCTGGGAGTGGCCCCCACTGGGCTGTACATACGAAGGTACATACACACAGTCAGGTCAGTGCTGCTTACAGGTAACAGGTACAACATCGTGACCTTGACCGATGGACTGGGCATCCCTGTCATGGGTTGCTATAGGTCGATCATAGTGGTCGGGGCTGGTCGGATCGACCCGCGATCATCCCTTGCCACCCTTGCAGAACTCGTTTGGGCAATGCTAGGGCAACTCCAAGTGGGGTAAACCGGCGCTAGTGTGACAGGGGAGGCTCGTAAGTGAACGCGTTTGGGCTGATGGCTGTATGTTTCTGCGCCACGATTCCCACAGGTCTCATCGAGGTACCGGGTACGTAACCCGTAGTCTAGGAGATGAGGACCTGTTACTACTAGCACAGATTAGTTAGTGTGATCTCCTTCCCAACGAATCGTATCCTCCACCGGGCTCGCCATTCATCCGTTGCAACCGGCGCTGGCTAGTCTAGCCGATACTAATTTTCCGGCCATCCTAGCGCCATTAAACACTGGCAGAGTGGGTTGCTAGAAGTGGATAATGAGGGTCGGAAGTATTAGAGATGGCAAATTTGGGAGAAGAAAATTGCGCCGACAATGCAACCGCCAGAAAATTTGCATAAAAATGAGAGGAATAATCATTAAAAAAATACGAGAAGAGGATCCATTGGCAAAGACGAAACCTTTTCAATCTGAGGTGAGAAGCTGCCCTGCATCCTGTCCACCGACTCTTCTTACGCTGCAGAAGATAACTTACACAGAAGTATGATACAGAACCGAGAGAAACAGAGTCGTGGGGTGTAAAGCCAGCCAAGCCTCCATTTCACCTCCGCTAACACTCTATTTCGCCATGACGGTGAGGTTCCTGGGCTGCGCGGTAAATCATCCGACGATCAGCCCGGCTCACATTGCACCTTGCCGATAGAATCGCAGGGGCACAGGCTTCGATGCGCGAAGAAGAGGTGAGCGGCTGTGGAGTTTGCCATGTGCGCATCTTTACGATCTGTCGGTGTAACTTGGCAACAAAACCCTACAGCAGATATATCGTAAGGTTCTCGGGTGAACCAATGTAGGTGCAATCGAGACCCTGCTGACCTGGATGAAATAGAGATATCCGTCCTTGCCCGTTGTTCTGTCTCGGCTTCTCGAAAACCAAACCCCAATGGACCAACCAGCCTCCTCCCCGAGACTATCGTCATCAATACATGATATACTCTCAGGTGACAGACCTCGCAAGCAGAGCGGCAGCAGGAGGAATGTAACAAAAAAATGCCGCGCCTTTCAAGGTGGCGTGGGCCTGAATGAAAGCTCTCGTCATGACAGCCTGGCGTCCGCCTTGCTGAGCCACGTTCGAGACCGCATCTCATGGAATCTGGATCGGGAAATTGCAGGTTGATTTGTTTAAAAAAAAAAGGAACCCTAAAATCTTGATCAGGAAGGACCTATCATGGATTAGGAAAACATTACCCTGCAGAATTGTCGTTTTTATTTTATCTTTATTCCTCTTTCTTTTTCTCGCCTCGACATTTGTACCATAGATATCAGTCGATTGTAAGAAGTGTGTGTACTTTGGTCATGCTTGGAATTCGCGTAATTTGCCTTAGGCTGTAGTAGCTATACTCGAATTGGCTAACAGCAATACCTCTAAGCCGGTTAGTTCATTCTAAGTCAAAGGAGATGTGCCGTCGTGTCTGATTCGGTTCCACAGGGGGAGAACAAGTCGACCGATCCACCCGGCGCATTGGCCGTGGCGTCTCCAACCCTTTGCTCATCTAGATCCGAACCCCATGCAAGGAAGATACATGGGGGATCCTGAATTTCTGAATTTGCCAGAAACATTACCCCCCCCACTACCAGAGTGCCATTGGTGGCCCGGGTGGTATTACTGTATTTCCGCGCATAATGAGCTGTTGGCGAACGAGCTGGAGCATGGCCATGCAGCGTCTACATAGTGCCGATGACCGATGGCGTAACTATTTTGGTTACTTAGGCTGAGAAAAATAAAATTGTCTGATCTTTTAAAATAACTGAGACCGTCCGACTTCGCGCGGCCACTTCTCCCCGAGATAACCTTCCTCTTGGATACTACTAATCCGACTAATTGAGGGCTCTCATCATCCACTCGCTTCATCGACTGCGGCAGGAACCCAACAGCTTTGACTATCCTCAAAAAGTACAAAATTCATCTCTCGCTCCTCTTCTCCAATTTCCAATCCTCACAGCTTTTGGCCACATTCGAGATTCACTCCGAAACCATGGCCCAATCCTCGCAATGCTATCTTCCTCGCTTCGCTCCCGCGGTCGACGGGCCCAAACGTCCGGTTTCTATGAAGACGAGACCGACCTCGTCGCAATGTGCGCAGTTATTAACCGCATGGCGCGAAGGGCGACTGGAATCCATCTTGCAGGCCACCTGGGCGCTAGTCCTGCACTACTATATCCAAACTGAGGATATTAGCTTCGGTTATCAACACATCGACGGTGACTCTATTTCCTCTCGACACCCTGTACAGCGGTCGAATGTCACCACCCCTGACCGCGATCTGTCGGCTATCCGGCTGGCAATCGATGAGAACGAATCCATCCAGGCAATTGTAGATAAAGTGCGAACCGGTGATGGAATCCAACAGCTCGGCGGTGGTTCTGAGGGTTACTTGCCCTTCAACACCATCTTGATGCTGCGCACATATCGCAAGGCGGATGATCCGTCTCCAACCTCCAAGACATTCCTGGCTAGTGCTCTACCAGACCAGGTATTTATAACCCCCATTCAGTACATATAATGGCATGGCCCCGGCTAATCTTGAACAACAGTGCCGGGTTCGTCTGCATGTAAAGGTGTTGCGCCGGGATATTAACATCTTCCTGGAATGGCGAAATGATGATATGTCTGGAGAACAAATGAAAAGTGTGGCCCACATCTTTGAGCAATTGCTCGCCAAAGTCCTTTCTTCCGAGAACCCAGCTATTAGCCAGCTTAATTTATTCTCGGAGAATGACTGGCAGCGCATTCGCAAGTGGACATCCGATATCCCCGAAACATACGACGGCTGTATCCACGATGCTATCCGTGAACAGGCACTTTCTGGACCGGACAGGGAGGCAGTATGCGCTTGGGATGGCAGCTTCACATATGCCGAACTGGACGCGTTGGCGTCGAAGCTTGCTTGTCACCTGCGTATGCAGGGCGTTGGTCCAGAAGCGCGCGTGGCACTGCTATTTGATAAATCGGTGAGTTGGTCCATTTGATAATATTTCCCCCTTTCCGCTCCATTTTTTCGTATTTGCTGCAAAGTTGGCAGGAGTTCGCAGATTGTGTAAAGTTGTGGAAGATGGATGAGACTGACGATCTGCAAGAAATGGAATTTAGTGGCGATGCTTGGCGTGATGAAGGCGGGCGGTGCGTTTGTCCCATTGGATCCAACTCATCCACCTTCGCGCCTCCAACGGTTGATCGACTCTGTCAAGGCCGAAGTCGCCCTGTGTTCGCAGGGCCGTGCAGATGCACTTCGTCCCATTGCGAAGACTTTGATTCCCATCTGCAGCGATACCCTGGATGGACTGCCCGCGCCCGTTGACGGAATTGATCTCGCATCGGGGGTCACTGGCCAAAATGCCGCTTATGTTTTGTTTACTTCTGGATCCACCGGAGAGCCGAAGGTAGGTCTAGCGGATATTGAGAAATTATGATGGTGCATGGTGCAGAAACTGACGATTCGCACGACAGGGCACCCTCCTGGAACATCGGGCTTTCCTATCGAGCTCCCTGGCTCACGCCGCTGGTCTCTGCGTCTTTCGCGAGACTCGCGCCTTGCAATTCGCCGCACACACGTTTGACGCCAGTTTGGCAGAGTCGCTTACTCCTCTGATCCACGGTGCCTGCGTCTGCATTCCGAGCGAGGAAGACCGATTAAATGACATTGTCCGTTTCATCAATGAAAAGCGGGTCGACCAGGCCTGCTTCACCCCGTCTTTTGTCGGCTTTATTGAAATCGACAGCGTGCCAGGGTTAAAGTCTTTAGTTCTGGCCGGTGAGGCCATGTCCCAGTCACAACTGGCAACATGGTCCAGAATCAAACTGGTCAATGGATATGGACCGACGGAGGCCAGCGTCGCCTCCGTGCTAAACACCAATGTTGCACCGAACGCCGACTGCAAGGATATCGGTCTGCCTGTTGGTGTCCGCGCATGGCTGGTAAATCCTGAAAACCATGACCAACTTGTTCCTATCGGCTGCCCTGGTGAATTGTTGCTCGAGGGACCAACTCTCGCTCGATGCTACGTCAACAACCCACAAAAGACCAACGAATCCTTTATCTACGACCCATCCTGGACCAAATTCGACGCCGGAGGAGGGATAAATCGCAGGTTTTACAAAACTGGAGATTTGGTGAGATACAACTCAGACACAGGTGCTCTGAACTACATCGGTCGGAAAGATACTCAGGTGAAGGTTCACGGCCAGCGGGTTGAGCTTGGCGAAGTTGAGAACCAGTTGAACAAGGAAAAGAGCGTGACGCACTGCTCTGTTCTTTTCCCCAAGGCTGGTTTCTGCAAGGGCCGTCTTGCAGCTGTGATTTCCTCTGCAGGACTCCTAGCGGAACAATCCGATGCGGACCTAGAGCCTCTGCGACTGCTTCCTTCATCGGAGAAAGTTAAGATCGTCCCTGCTATTCGAGAGAGCTTGTCGGGCCGACTCCCGACTTACATGGTACCTGCAGTGTGGCTTTGTGTGGAAGCATTGCCCCTTCTTCCATCCGGAAAACTCGATCGGAAGGGTATTGCAGGTTGGGTTTCCGGCATGGAGAACGATCCGGACGTTGGAAAGGTTGAAAATGGTCTTGTGCTTGAGGCTGAAATGTCTCAACCTGCAAATGAAATTGAAGAGACTCTCACTGCTGTTTACAGTCGTGTCCTCAACATCCCTCAGAACCACGTCAGTCTGACTGAGAGCTTCCTGGCACTCGGTGGCGATTCTATTGCTGCTATGACCTGTATTGGTCTGTGTAAGAAACGTGCAGTTGGCCTTTCTGTCCAAGATGTGCTCCGCAGCAAGTCGATCCAGGACTTGGCTACGCGTGCAAAGGCGATTGATCACACGACGTCGTATAAGGAGGCAGTAGATGAGGCGTTTGATCTCTCACCCATCCAGATACTCCACTTTGGTCTCCGAAAGGAAGGCCAGGGTCATTTTAACCAAGGCATTCTCACACGTCTCAGCAAGCCTCTTGATGAGCGCACCCTTCGCAAGGCGATCGAAACCCTCGTTTCGCGACACTCCATGCTCCGCGCAAAATTTGAAAATACGGGCTGGTCGACAGCTTCAAGCCAGAGGATTACTCGAGACGTCAAGGGCTCATTCAGGCTGCGGAGCAATACCGTACGCTCAATTGAGGACATCAAGCCCCATGTAGCTGACAGCCAGTCTTGCATCAATTGTTTCTCGGGACCCCTCCTGGCTGTTGACTACTTCCGCTTCAAGGAAAAGCAACAGCAACATGTACTATCTATGACCGCTCATCACTTGGTCGTTGACATTGTCTCATGGAGGATCATCCTAGAAGATCTGGAGGATATCATCAAGAACCCTGGAAAACCCACAAGTGAGGATGCGTCACTTCCATTCCAAACCTGGTCCAAGCTACAGATTCAGCACTCAAAGAATATGCTCGCCGAGGGTAAGGTCTCGAAGGATCCTCTACCTGCCCCAGACTTTGGCTACTGGGGCTTGAAGACCCATCAAACCACGTATGGTGATGTTGATTGTGCTTCTTTCGAGATCGATGCGGTTCACACCAACGCAATCCTTCTTGAGTGCCATAAAGCCCTGTCCACTGAGCCAATCGACCTTTTCCTAGCCTCCATGCTTCACTCATTTGGACACTCCTTCACCGATCGATCCCTACCAACAATCTTCAATGAGGGACACGGACGTGAGGTTTGGGATCCTTCCATTGACATCTCTCACACCGTCGGCTGGTTCACTATCTTGCACCCCATCTTCGTTAACGGCTACCAATCGGACGATGCAATTGACACTTTGATCAAAGTCAAGGACTTGCGTCGCCGTGTCTCTGACAATGGTCGCGCGGACTTCGCTAGCGGCGTCCTCCCCATCGAAGGCAAGCGGGCTGGTACCTACCCGCATCCGTTCGAGATCTCATTCAACTATGTTGGCCAGCACCGTGACTTGCAGCGTCAGGATGGCCTCTTTCAGCTCGTTGATCAGATGGCTGGTGAGACTGGTCAAGGAAGTGGTGATGCAGACTTCGGTCGCGACACCCCCCGTTTCGGTCTTTTCGAGATCTCCGCAATGGTCGTTGGTGGTAAGATCCGGTTTACATTTTCTTTTAACAAGTTTATGCAGCACCAAGATCGTATCCATACCTGGGTTGCCAACTGTCAGAAGCAGCTTGTGTCCTTCTCCGAGAAGTTGACTTCGATGTCTCCGCGTCTCACGCTGAGCTCTTTCCCGATGCTGTCTCTCAACTATGATAGCCTCGACAAGATGCTCAACCAGAAGCTCCCGGCGATTGGTGTGAGAAACCTAGATATGATCGAAGACATATACCCTTGTTCCCGAATGCAGCAAGGTATCCTCCTTGGTCAGACCCGGGACAGCTCTTACTATGCTGTCCACGATACCTTCGAGGTCCGCGGCACTGGCTCCACACAGCCCAACCTTGATCGCCTTGTGGAAGCCTGGAAGCAAGTTGCTTCACACCACGCCATGCTACGCACTATATTTGTTGAGAATCTTACTCCTTCTGATGCCTTCTCCCAGGTTGTTTTGAAGGAGTATGATGCCAGCCCCGTCTTCCTACAATCCTCTGGGGATAGTGACATTTTTGCAACCTTTGATGCGCAGGAGCCCAAGAACTACCGTGAGCGTACCCCTGCGTATCGGTTTAGCATCTGCCACACCTCAACCGGACGTATCTTCTGCCGCATTGAACTGAGCCACGCTGCCATGGATGGAAACTCAATCTCCATCATCCTTCGAGATCTACAACTCGCATACGTTGGGAGACTCGAGGAAACTCGACGCCCGCTGTTCAAGGACTACATGGGCTACCTCTTCGATGCGCCCAGGGACGCAAGTGTTGAATACTGGCGCTCATACCTCTTGGGCGCCAAGCCTTGCATGTTCCCAATTCTAACCGACGGCCAGGCTGCCCAAGAGAAGGCTCTCCGAGCTATCCCTGTCAACTTTGGATCTCTGCCGCGGCTCCAAAGTGTGTGCGAGAAGAAGGGAATCACACTCGCCAATGTTTTCAATGCAGCCTGGGGGCTCACCCTCCGTTACTTCACTGGTTCCGACGACGTTAGTTTCAGTTACATGGCTTCGCTAAGAGATGTTCCTGCGGATGGAGTCCAGTCTGTTGTTGGCCCGGTGATCAACCTCATGGCTTGCCGCATGAAGTTTTCTGGCACTTCGGTGTTGCGTGATGTATTGGAGAAGGTCCAGGATGATTATATGGATAGCTTGCCGTATCGACACACCTCACTCATTGACATTCAACATGCTCTGAAGCTTTCTGATACCAACTTGTTCAACTCGGGTGTCTCCTACCGCCGTCTACCTGGCGCGAAGGATGCTGTCAGCAGTGATATCGAGTGTGTCGAAGTCGGTTCCATTCACGACCCAGCCGAATTCCCAGTCTTCATTAACATTGAAGCTATGGACACAAAGGCTTGTATCGACCTCAACTACTGGACTACAAACCTCTCTGATGCACAGGCCTCAAATGTCGCCAACACATACGTTCGTTGCCTCGAGAGCATTATGACATACTCGGATAGCGAAATCCGCGAACTTGATAATCTCAGTGATAGCAACAAGACTGATATTACCACCTGGAACAGCAAGAACTCACAGGCTGTTGAGATTTGTGTTCACCAGGTTGTTCAGGATATGGCCAAGAAACGGCGCGATGCTCTTGCCGTCACTGCTTGGGATGGAAATCTGACTTACTCCAAGCTCGACCAGTTCTCTTCTCGCCTGGCTAGTTATCTGATCACGTTCGGCGTGGGACCTGGCAGTCTTATTCCAACATCCTTCCCGAAGTCCGTTTGGAACGTTGTTTCCATACTAGCGGTGATGAAGGCTGGTGGTGGTTGTATCCCTGTCGAGAACTCGAAAACTTTGAGCCTCATTGAGAAACATGTGCAAGAAAACGTGATTCAGGTTGCCCTTGCATCCCCCGAGAAGGCACAGGTTCTTGAGGAGGTGATCCCTTATGTGGTACCCGTCAGCGAGTCTCTGCTCGAATATCTCGGCGATGAGCCTTTGCTATCTATGGCCTGTTATTCGGACCCCGCTTATGTCTCATTCACTGCTGGATCCTCTGGAGCCCCGAAGGGAGTTATCCTTGAGCATGCTACTGTCGTAACTCGAGCTGAAGCATTCGCCGCGTCACTGAAGCTCAATGATGCCTCGCGCACATTCCAATTCGCGGCTCACTCGTCCGATCTTTTCTTGCTCGAGACCTTCGGTACCTTTATGCGCGGAGGTTGTCTTTGCATCCCAGCAGACATTGATCCTTCCAAGTTGGCCGCCTCCATCAATGTTCTTCACGCCAATGTTTCCTGCTTGACCCCAAGTGTCGCGGAATTCATGACCCCGAAAGACGTTCCCGGCCTCAAGACTGTAGCAATAGTCGGAGAACTTGCGACCAATACTCTTTTGGATAGCTGGCGGTCTGATGACCTCCAGCTGCATGTTCTGTTCGGATCTACGGAGTCGTCCTCTGCAGCATGCCTCGCTCCGATCACACAGGGTTGCAAGGAAAGCACCATTGGTCGCTCCGCTTCCTGTATCTCCTGGGTTGTTGACCCCGCTAACCACCACGCTCTTGTTCCTGTCGGTGCTATCGGCGAATTGGTTATCGAAGGTCCTGTGATTGCCTCCAAGTACCTAGCAAACGAGGGTCGTGATCGTGAAGCATTTTTTGAGAACCCATGCTGGCTTTCTGCCTTCCGACGTGACTTGCACGAGTTCACGGAGACGACCAAGTTCTTTAAGACTGGGGATCTTGTTCGTTACAATGGTGATGGTTCCCTTGTGCACCTTGGCCGCAAGGATAATACTCAGGAACTTTCCTTGTCATCTGACTTGCGCCGTGTTCAGCAATCTCTTGTGGGATACCTGGGCTCCAAGAGAAAAGCTCTGGTGGATACGATCAAATTTCCCGGGGATACAAACAGCTCCATCGTGGCATTCGTCGGCTCCTCAGCACCCACTGCAGCATCTTTTAACGAGCGAGTTATTCAAAGTTCATCTTCTGACCTGACGACAACCATTTCCGCAATTCACGCGCATTTGACTAGCCGATTCCCAGCTAACAAGGTTCCGAGTTGCTACATCCCTATTTCGACAGTCCCTCTCACCTCTCTTGGAAAGCTAAACTTGCAGGGCCTCAACGCCGAAATTAACTCCCTCTCCGCCAGTGTTCTGCGAACCTTCGACGTTGAACGATGGACTGGATTGAAGTCATCTAACCGCCACTCCCGCCAGTCGTCCCTTTCAGGAACCACCCTTGCTTTCTGGAAAGAATATCTGGCAGATATCGAGCCCTGCAACTTCCCCTCTATGTCTCTTGTCACTACTAGCCCTGGTCGTTCCACTCGCACCCTTAACAAACAGACTCAGAAGTTGCATGCCTTTAGCAAAATGTCAGGTGTCTCTGTCGAGACTCTCTTCCAGTTTGCTTGGGGTCTGGTTCTTCGTTGCTACACTGGCTGCGATGATGTCTGCTTCGGATTCTCCTCTGCCAACTCCGACGATCTTGCAGTTTCCATTTGCCGCCTCATGTTAACCAACGACCGCAAACTGGAGGAGACATTGCAGCACTCCAAGGCCCAATTCGACAAGGGCCTCCAAAACTTCGCAGACCTCGCCACAGTTAACCATCATCTTGGCTTCGAAAACACGAGTATTTTCAACACTCTTCTCACATTCCGCACTTCCTCGTCCCTCCCTCAGGGCAACGTCCAGGAGATGACCACCGCGAACGACTATAAGCTCACTGTCGCAGCGGAGGTGAGCAGCGCTGTTGCCGAAATTCATTTCAGCTATTCTTCGGACATCCTTTCCTCCAGCCAGGTTACCCATGTCATCGATGCCTTCGACCACTTCCTCAATGATGTCATGTCTTCTAATCCTCGCTATCGTCTCATTGGTGATCTTGATCTCTTCCCCCAGCGCTCTTGCAGACAAATTCGAGACTGGAACGCCGTTCTCCCTCCGCGCGTTGAGAAATGTGCCGATGAGCTGATCCAGCAACAAGCCCTGCTACACCCCCGCGCTGAGGCCATCTGCTCCTGGGATAAAAATTTCACCTATGGCCAACTTGAGATTGTTTCCAGCCGCCTCGCACGCTTCTTGACGGGATTGGGTGTTAAACCCGAAGTGTTCGTTGTTCTATGCTTCGAAAAGTCTGCTTGGGCTGTCGTGGCCCAGCTGGCCATTCTCAAGGCCGGCGGTGCATTTGTCTCAATCGACCCTACTCACCCCGACTCTCGCCTCCAAATGTTGATCGAGGAGATTGGTGCAGATCTAGTACTCTGCGCGGCAACTCTCCAGTCAAAAATGGCTAAGCTTTGCAAGAAGGCATTCGCTGTTTCGCAGAGCTCAATTTCTCAGCTGCCCGAATCTCCCCTTGCTCTGCCTGGCACTCGGCCTGCACCAAGTAGCGCAGCTTATGCTATCTTCACCTCGGGTACCACTGGCAAGCCAAAGGCCACTGTAGTTGAACACGTCGCCCTCAGTACAACCGCTATTGCCATGACTGACGCTCTCCATATGGACTCTAGAACACGTTCGCTCCAATTCTCTAACTATACTTTCGACGTAAGCATCCTTGAGATCATGATGACTCTGATGACCGGTGGTTGTGTTTGTGTCCCCAGTGAAGAAGAACGCATGAACAACCTGGGAGGAGCGATTCGTCGTATGGAAGCCAACTACATGGCATCGCCACCTGCCATTGTCAACACTCTCGAGCCAAAGAGTGTTCCTACTTTGAAGACGATCATCACTGGGGGTGAAAAGATGCCCGCCAACCACATCGATCGCTGGAATGACCGCTTCGTCATCAACGCGTATGGTCCTTCGGAGGCAACTGTCGTCGCAACTGTCGGTGTCAAGGTCGATTGGGAGGGCAACCGTGTGAACAATGACCCTACCTCCATTGGACATGCCGCCAACTGCCGAGTTTGGATCGTCGATCCTAATAACTATAACCGCCTCCTCCCCGTTGGTGCTGTTGGAGAGATGCTTTTGGAAGGAAGCAACATTGCTCGCGAGTACCTTGGAAATGCCGAGAAGACGAAGGCAGCTTTCGTTGACGATCCAACTTGGAGTCACCACCCCAGCCTCCTAGGTCTCTTCAAGCGCAAAGACCGCATGTACCGCACTGGGGATCTGGTTCGGTACAACAGCGATGGGACTCTGGCTTTCATCTCTCGAAAGGATACTCAAATCAAGTTCAATGGTCAGCGTATCGAGCTTGAAGAGATTGAACACCAATGTCTCCGGGCCCTTCCAAATGGATCTCAAGTTGCAGTTGACGTTGTCGTTCCCCAGGAACGCACTGTCGCAAAGGGTCTTGCTGCCTTCTTCACAGTTCATGATCCTGATTCCGTGGAAGGTGGTACTAGTGATGATTTTGCACCTACGATCCCTGGTGTTGATCCTCTCCTTCTGCCCGTCTCTGTTTCCAATATGGATGCCATCCAGAAGTTGAAGAGCTCCCTCCCCGATCTTCTGCCCCAAAGCATGATGCCACGCCTATTTTTCCCCTTACGCAACCTTCCTTTCACCTCCTCTGCCAAGATTGATCGTCGCCGCCTTCGTGCGATGGTTCAGACATTGTCCAAAGATGTTCTGAAGTCATACGTTACTTTCAGCTCTGGCTCAAAGAAAGAGGAGACATCTGCAGATGGCATTGATGCTAAGCTGCGCTCCTTGTGGGAGAAGATCCTAGACCTTGAAACTGGCTCAGTAACCAATGACGATAGCTTCTTCGCCCTTGGTGGTGATTCATTCTCTGCCATGAATCTTGTTGGTGCTGCGCAAGCTTTGGGAATCTCTCTGAATGTGGCTACTATTTTTAACACTCCCATGCTGATCGAGATGGCACAAAGCTGTTCAGAGTCTCAAGAGGTTCCGGAATTCAAGAAGGCCACCCTGAAGCCATTCTCGCTACTGCCGTCTTCCGTAGATGCAGAAAGCATCATAGAAGAAGTGGCTGATAGCTGTGGTGTTTCTAAGTCGTCTATCTGTGATATTTATCCCTGCTCTGCCGTCCAAGAAGGTCTTTTGACACTATCTTTGAAGCATGCGGGTGCCTATGTCGCCCAGCCTGTCTTCCGTCTCGCCGACGGCACAGACCTTGACAGATTTAAATCTGCCTGGCAGCAGACGGTGATCGATCTCGAGATCCTACGCACCCGAGTCGTGCATACCGAGGCCATGAACTTTGCACAGGCGGTTTTGGACGACCAGCCCATCTCTTGGGCCCATGTGGACTCCTTTGAAGCTCTGCCGAGTGATATAACTGAACTACCAAAGCAAAATGGTGCGCCTCTCACCGGCTACGCGATCGTCCAGCCCCGTGGATCTTCCACTCGCTACTTCGTCTGGTCGGTTCATCACGCACTCTACGATGGATGGAGTATCCCCCTTGTCTGGAGCAAGGTTGAGGAGAACTATAGGGGCTCTCAAAACAAAGCTTCGGGCACATCCTACGGTCTTTTCATCGAGTACCTCACCAAGAAAGACATGGAAAAGTCCGATGCCTTCTGGAAGTCTTATCTCAAGGACCTTTCGAGTACTCCCTTCCCCCAGAACAAGAACTCTGTTCCCCATGCCGTACGGGCTGGTAATACCCAGTACCTCACTTTGGATATCTCGCGGCCAGCCAACAGCGTTGAGTTTACTCTACCTGTTTTGCTTCGTGCCGCCTGGGCTATCGTCATCGCTAACCACACCGCATCTGGAGATGTGTGCTTTGGCGAGACCCTGTCAGGTCGCAACATTGACCTTCCCGGCGTCGGCGAGATTGCTGGCCCTGTTCTGTCAACTGTACCTACGCGCGTGCAAGTCGACAACGAAATGACAATCATCCAGTATCTTGACCAGATCAACAAGTCTACTACAGAGATGATTCCCCACCTTCACGCAGGCTTACAACACATTCGTCAGCTCAACAAGGACACATCCACTGGTTGCAATTTCCAGAACCTGCTTGTTATTCAGTCTGGCGAGGGCGAGCTAGACAGCTCAATTTGGGTTGACGAGAAGCGTGAGACAAGCGAGGACTTCTTCACTCACCCCCTTGTTCTCGAATGTTCATTCTCGAAGTCAAATATTTCCTTCACCGTTCATCATGATGAACTGGTCATCAATGCTTGGCAGACCAAGCACATCACAGAGCAGCTAAGCCACGTTATGAAGCAACTTCTGTCTGTTCCCAAGACCACGGCTAACAAGTTGGTTGACTTGGAAGTTGTTAGTCCAGAAGACAAGGTCGAGATCGGCGAGTGGAACAAGCGTGATATTTCCCCAGTCGAGCGTTGCGTTCAGGAATTCATCCTGGAGAAATCTATCGAAACCCCTAATGCTCCTGCCGTGTGCGCTTGGGATGGACAGCTTACTTATCGTGAGTTCTGGGATTTGGCCTCCTCTTTTGCAAACTATCTCATCGGTCGCGGTGTTGGCCCCGAAGTATTTGTTCCCGTTTGTCTTGACAAGTCCGCTTGGGCTATGGTCACTCTGATCAGTATCCTGATCGCTGGCGGTGCTTACGTTCCACTCGACCCCCACCACCCTACTTCTCGACACGAGGAAATTCTCGCAGATGTTGGTGCGAATATGATCCTCTGTACTCCTAACTACAGCAGCCGCTACAATCGTGTTGTCAAGACTGTCATCCCCATCAGCAAAGAGACTATCAAAGCCTATGGCTCCCTCAACTCGTCTTCAACCCGCCCCCGTGCCCAAGTGACAGCTTCCAACATGGCTTACGCCCTGTTCACCTCTGGCAGCACTGGACGTGCCAAGGGTATCGTCGTCGAGCATCGCAATGTTGTCAGCAGTATCATGGCATTTGGCCCAATGATGTACATGGGACCAAAGGCAAGAGTGTTCCAGTTTGCCTCTCTGACCTTTGATGCTGCCATCATGGAAACCCTCGCCATCCTCATGCTTGGCGGCTGCATTTGTGTGCCTAGCGAGGATGAGCGACTCAACGATATCGCCGGTGCCATCCGTCGCCTCAATGTCACTTGGAGTTTCCTCACTCCATCCATTGCGAGTATCATTGAGCCGTCCTCTGTCCCATCCCTGGAGGTCCTTACTGTTGGTGGCGAGAAGATGTCACAAGAGGTCATCACCCGATGGTGTCATGTCCTTAAGTTGATCAATGGATACGGTCCGACCGAAACTTGCGTGTTCGCAGTCGTTGATACCGCCGTCGCAGTCAATCGCGATCCTGCTCGGATCGGCTACGGTATTCCGAGCACCCTAACCTGGATTGTGGACGCTGAAAACCCGCACAAATTAGCTCCGCTTGGTGCAGTCGGCGAACTTGCTCTTGAGGGCCCTGCTCTTGCTCGGGAGTATTTGAAGAACCCTCAGAAGAATGCCGAAGCCTTCATCAACGATCCTACCTGGATCAAAGGTTTCAAGTCTTCCATCCCGTCCCTCTCGCAGGATCTACTTGACAGGTGACCTTTGTTATTACAATCCTGATGGTTCCATCGAGTACATAAGCCGCAAGGATCACCAGGTTAAGCTACATGGCCAGCGCATGGAACTCGGGGAGATCGAGCATCGACTGCATGAAGACCCACTGGTCCGCCACGCCGTTGTTATCTTGCCCAAGAACGGACCTCTCAAGCAGCGTCTTGTAACTGTCATGTCGCTCAACAAGATCGCCGCGGATAACAAGCTGATCTCCGATAAGCCATGTGAGTTTGTGGAGGAACGTGAGTTTAACAGCCAGGGTCTCTGCGGCCTCGTGGAGGTACAGAAGAAGCTTGAGGCACAGCTTCCCATCTACATGGTTCCACAAACCTGGGCTCTCATCAAGAAGCTCCCAATGCTTGTTTCCGGCAAGCTGGATCGCAAGAAGATCACTGCCTGGCTGGAAGATATCGATGACGACTCCTATGAGCGTATTATGCAAGACTTCGACCGCATGAAGCGTGGTGCGCCAGAGAAGCCCGAAGAAAAGGAACATGATGGATCCTTGAAGATTGTTCGTGAGATATTCGCGCAGGTCCTCAATATTTCGCTGCAGAAAGTCAACATCGACCGATCTTTCGTCAGCCTAGGTGAGTTTTCAACGGAACTAGGTTCTCATTTCAAATAGTCAGCTCTATTAACAACCTTCTCTAGGCGGCGACAGTATTACCGGCATGGCGGTGATCTCCAGAGCTCGTAAGCAGGGCTTGGCCGTGACGCTCAATGACATCTTGCAAAGTCGATCAGTCAAGGAGCTTGCCCAGACTGCCAGTTCCAAGGCACCAGTCAAGGCTCTGCGCGAGGAGAAAATTGGAGAATGCTTCGCCCTTTCTCCCGTTCAGAGGCTCTATATGCAGTCTACAAATTCCTACAAAGGAGCCGCTCGTTTCAATCAAAGTATCACTGTGCGGGTCTCTCGTCGTGTTGAGGGGGAGGTCCTTCGTCGTGCTATCAAGGCTGTTAGCACCCAGCATTCCATGTTCCGCGCCCGGTTCAGCAAGACTGGTTCTGGAAGCTGGCAACAGAAATCGTCAACTGTGAGTACAAAAATCCGTCTCGAGCGTCCCATGTTACTAACACAGTTTCAAGGAGGTTGATGAGTCTTATCGATTCCGCATGCACTCTGTTAGCGATACACGCGCCATGGTCCCCAGGATTGCCGAAAGCCAGTCGTGCCTCGACCCCCTCAATGGCCCAATTTTCGCCGCTGATTTGTTCAATCTTCGCAATGGCGGCCAAGTTCTTTTCCTTGTGGCGCATCATATGTGTGTTGACATGGTATCTTGGCGCATCATTCTCCAAGATCTTGAAGAGCTTGTTGTGTCCGGTTCTCTATCTGATGATAAGGCTTTGTCCTTCCAGAGCTGGTGTGCCTTGCAACTCGAGCGAGCAAAGATCCATGATGCTGGTGCAACCTTGCCATTCACCCCTTCGCAGCCAAACCTCACCTACTGGGGCATGGAAGATTCCACCAACCTCTATGGGGATCTCAAGATGGAGTCGTTCACACTTAACGAAGAGATGACCAACTTCATTCTTGAGGGCTGCCACGAAACCTTTGGAACTGATACCGTTGACATTCTTCTTGCCGCTATTGTGCATTCTTTCAGCCGCACATTCACTGACCGCAAGCTTCCCACCATTTACAATGAAGGCCATGGTCGTGAGCCTTGGGATGCTACCATTGATCTTTCTCGTACAGTTGGTTGGTTTACAACCATGGCCCCTCTGCTCGTCGAGGGCCGAGATGGTAAGTGTCATCCTAGCTCGTTGTTTGCCGATGCCCGCTCACATGATACAGGCACTCTCATGGACACCATCAAGCGAGTCAAAGATACTCGTCGCAAAATCACTGACAATGGACGACCTTTCTTCGCAAAGAGCCTCTTGGCTTCGGACCAGCAAAGCAACGAGAGTGCCTTCCAGGTTCCTCTTGAAATCTTGTTCAATTACCTGGGCAAGCTTCAGCAGCTGGAACGCAATGACTCACTCTTCCGGCACCAAGGCAGTGTGTTCGACAGCTCCGACTTTGCTGTTGCTGGCGACATGGGCCCTGACACTGCCCGCTTTGCGTTGTTTGAACTTTCAGCCATTGTGGTGAAGGATCGTTTGAATGTCTCCTTCGCCTATAACCGCCGTACTCAGCGCGAGGGTCAGATCCGACGCTGGATTTTGCAATGCAAGCAAACCTTGGAAAAGGACCTTTCCACTCTGAAGAATGTCTCCGCCGAGCCTACTCTTAGCGACTTCCCACTTCTTCCGATCAACTACCAAGGCTTGCAGGTCCTAACCAAGAACACTTTCCGCAAGCTCGGAATCCGGAGCAAGAATGAGGTTGATGACATCTATCCTTGCTCTCCCATGCAGGAGGGTCTCCTGCTAAGTCAACTTCGTGACCCGAGTGCCTACATGTTCCACACTATTTTCGAGATCAAAGATGCCCGCGCAGGCAAGGTCGACGCGGAGAGACTTGCCCGCTCCTGGAACATGCTTGTGGATCGTCACCCTGTCCTCCGGACCGTCTTTATTGACAGCAATTACAGCGGCGGTTCCTTCGATCAATTGGTTCTTTCCAAGCTCAAGGATAATGTCCTTCGGGTTGAATGCCCTGACTCTCAGGTTGAGGAAAAGCTGGCAGCTATTTCCCTTCGTGATGCGAATGCCATGCGTCCTGCCAAACTTTCTCACCAGTTGACTGTCTGCAAGGTCACGAGTGGACGTGTCCTCGTCAAACTCGAAATCAACCATGCTATCATCGATGGTGGAGGTGTCGATGTCCTGCTACGTGACCTCACCACGGCTTATGATCGCAAGCTTGCAGAAGGCCCTGGGCCTCGTTTCAGCGACTATATCAAGTACATCCGAACTCAGAGCCAAGGCGAAGCCCTCGACCATTGGAAGAAGTATCTCGGTGGTGTTCGTCCATGCCACATTTCCCCTTCTGCCGGCTTCCAGACCCAACGGGAGCTGAAGGGTATCTTGATGAACTTCAACCGCTATCCCGAACTGCTTAAATTCTGTGAGGGAGCTTCGGTTACCTTGGCAAACCTCACATTGACTGCCTGGGCTATTGTCCTTAGACAGTTCACCTCATCCGATGATGTTTGTTTCGGATATCTGTCGGCCGGTCGCGACGCGCCCGTCAACGGTATCCAAGACATGGTCGGTATCTTTATCAACATGCTCTGCTGCCGTGTGAAGTTCTCTTCGCACCAGTCCCTTTCCGATATATCCAAGCGGGTGAATGGTGATTACATCGCCAGCATTCCCCATCAGAGCTGCTCCCTTGCTAGTATCCAGCACGAGCTGGGATGGCAGGGACAGTCTCTCTTCAATACAACACTCTCCATTCAGAATCACACCGTTGCCGGTGGCTCTAAGGAGAAGGGTCTATCCTTCGACCTACAGCACGCCCACGATCCTAGTGAGGTAAGTATCCGTGAATATATCTACATGCAAAGTGACTCCTGCTAACAACTTTCAGTACGCTGTCACTGTAAATGTCGACATTTCACGAGGAGGCGAGGGTATCATGCTCCGCTACTGGAATGATGTTGTCTCTGATGCCCAAGCGCAATCCCTCGTCGATTCTATTGCCAAGGTCTTCACTGGCTTTATCGAGTCGCCATCGGAGTCAATCTCGGCCGCCAAGCTCGACAACCAGGCTCTGACTGAGCAGCCATCTGAATGGAGCAGCTCCCAGACATCTGTCAGCGAGAGAGTCAAGACCAACAGGAAGAGCCTAGATGGAACTGCAATCCAGAAGATTATCGATGACCGTGTCCACGAAATAATCGGTCAAATGCTGAGGGATGGGAAGTTGATGGTGCCAGGGATGGCGACCGATAGTCTTTCCGGCTACGGCCATCCCGACTCTGTTGGTTCTCCCTTCCAGTTAGAAGGACTCCAGGGCGAAGCGGATGACTCGGGTGTCTGCTCTGCAACCTCGCGCTCCAGTCAGGACGGAATGTCCGCAGACGTTGAGCGAAAACTTTGGAGCCTGTGGAGCACTGCTCTTGGTCTGTCACCCAATGTGGTGCGGCACCAGGATAGCTTCTTCAAGCTCGGTGGCGATAGTATCACTGCCATGAAAATGGTCAGCGCCGCTCGCGAGGATGGCTTAGTCCTCACTGTTGCTGATGTCTTCAACAACCCCGTTTTTGAAGACATGCTTGCCACCGTTCGTGCTGCCAATGTCACACAGCAGATGCTCAATGTCGATCTGAAGCCAGTTCACAAGGAAGTTGATTCATTCCCCGACAGCACACCAACCACTCTGGCACAAACACCTTCTTCTGAAAGCATCTCAGTCCTCCGACCTTCCATGACTGTTGATGACGCTTCGGTCCAGAGCGGCATTTGCCCCAAGATTGGCGTCTTCAAAGGCGGAATTGCAGATGTTCTGCCTGTCACTGACTTCCAAGCAATGTCCCTCACTGCGACGCTGTTCAAGTCGCGATGGATGTTGAACTATTTCTTCTTGGAAGGCAATGGTCCCTTGGATCTCCGCCGTCTCCGCGAGAGCTGTCTTAAGGTCGTCGACGCGTTCGACATCCTGCGTACCGTATTCGTCTGCTTCCACGACCAGTTCTTCCAAGTCGTACTTCGCAAGATCCGCCCCAGTATCTTCGTCTATGAGACTGACCGTGGTCTCGACGAATTCACCTCCACGCTTCAGCAGCGCGACCGTGAATACGGTCCCCGAGAGGGCGAGCAATACGTGCAGTTCTACGTTGTCAAGAAGAAGGAAAGCGATCAACACCGCATCATGATCCGTCTCTCTCACACGCAATACGACGGAGTCTGCTTGTCCAAGATCATGTCCGCCATCAAGTTCGGCTACGAAGGCAGTCCTCTTCCTCCCGTCACGCCTTACGCCAGCTATCTCCGCCAGCTTCCAGGCACAATTACACCGGATCACTACAACCACTGGTCTAAGCTTCTGAAGGGATCGCATATGACCCAGGTCGTCAGTCGAAAGGGTACCTCCATGTTCCAAAACATTGGTGCTTTCACCGAGGTTCGCAAGACCATCGAGGTTCCACCCACTGCGCTTGGAAATGTCACTGTCGCGACTGTCATGCAGGCTGCTTGGGCCTTGACTCTCGCAAAGCTGTCTGCTAAATCAGATGTTGTTTTTGGCCTCACAATCAGTGGTCGCAATGCCACCGTGCCTGGAATTGAGAACACTGTCGGTCCATGTGTTAATGTTGTTCCTGTTCGTGTCAACTTCGCCGAGAAGTGGACAGGCGTCGAGTTGTTCCGCTATCTCCAGGATCAGCAGGTGTCCAACATGCCATTCGAGTCCCTTGGCTTCCGCGAGATCATCAAGCAATGCACTGACTGGCCAGCCTGGACATATTTCACCACCTCGGTGTTTCACCAGAATGTTGACTATGAGGGTTCCCTGGAACTTGACAACAACAAGTATCGCATGGGAGGCGCGGGAGTCAATGACAACTTCGCCGATCTGACTATGGTTTCTCGCCCCGCTGATGACCGCAATCTCAATATCACTCTCGGATTCTCCGAGAAGGGCCCCATCCTTCCTTCATTTGCTGAAAGGGTCCTGGACATGGTGTGCGAAACTGCGCAGTCCTTGATCGCCAACCCTTCAACTTCTTTGCCATCTCCAAACATGCTGTGCTCTCTTCCACCCCAAGTGGTCGATGACCTGCCCCGTGCCTCGGACGAGCACTTCCTCAGCGCCCATCTCAAGTCCCGTTCCATTGCCGAGCTTCTAGTCCATTCAGACATCCTGTCGCGCTCCTGGCACCAGTGCCTGCCTAGTCGAACTCCTGTTCTGACAGAGGGCGATGAAGATGAGAAACCCAAGCACCAACCAGCCTTCCAGCTCGACTCATCCTTTTTCGATCTTGGTGGTGATATCTTCAATATGGCACAACTTACCTGGCTTCTTGAGCAAGAAGGCCTCAAGGTCCGCTTGGAAGATCTTCTCGAGCACCCATCCTTCCTTGGCCAAATGGCTGTCCTGGCTCTGCACAATTCCAAGCACCAGGAGGACTTTGGTCCTGAATATGCCACCGGAGCAGCCTCGCCGAAGCCATCTATGCCTCAAGTCGAGAAGAAGAAGACATGGGAGAAGGCCATGACACTTGCGAGAAAGCTGACTCGTCGGAACAACATGGTTTCCAGCCGGGTCTGATGAATTTCATCTGTTCCTTCCCCGGCGTCATTTCAAAAACGAAAAAAAGGAAGAGAGGAGGAAAGAAGAAATAATTAGAGGCCGTGAAACCTCCTCCCAAACACCTTTTGCTTGACACTCATATTGTCTCATTTTCCTTGCATTCCATTTTGTCTCATGATGTTTTGTACTTTATACCTCACGGTTTTCATCCAAGCCCAGCATACGCTGTTTCCTATGTTCTTTACAATTCATGGTTTGGATGGATAAACGAAATTTATGTCAATTTTTGGTTATTAGTTTGGTTTTACCTCGAATTGCTTTTGGTCTTATAGAATGTGTTTCTTCCCGCGTTCCAAGATTACCGCACCATCAAACAATGGAACTTGAAATTGTCTCTATGAATCCGCAATAAACTATCTTCGCATTCACTACCTTCTTGTAGTTACATGATCGTGGAATTTCTAGATCGCCGTATATATAGTAATTCGTAGATGGATATCTTGACCCGAGGAAATGATTTTTAGCTGTGGGGTACATGCTACTACGGCTGGCCTCCCGAGATTCATCGGCTTCTTTCCCGGTCGGACAAGCATCTCTATAAGACTCGGAAGACATGCGACTTCGAATTGGTCACCTAAATCAATTTTATTATTATTCTGGATTCAGCTGCTTGATTGAGATCCAGAAGCTGAACATTTCAACATGGCAGAATCTGAAGTTGTTGGTTTACTGAAGCAACTCATGCAAATTCCGTCATGCAGCAGAAGAACAGGCCATTGGCATATTCCTCGAGTAACACTTGAAGAGTTTGGGCTACACAGTGGATCTTGTCCCCATAACCCCTGATAGCTCTCGCTGCAATGTATAAGCATATCTTAGCTCTTCTCGCGAGACGCGTGTTTGCCTCACTGCGCACATGGATACGGTTCCTCGACATATCTCACTTCGAGAGACACCCAATATACAAAGGCGGTCCAGAAGTTTGAAGACATCGCGCTATTTTTTTAGCGCGATTTTCGCGTCACCCCCCCACCCATCTTCTTCAACTACCCCCTACACCACCAATATGCGTCGGTTTGGCACTGAAATAAGTGGCAATCGAAGGCCAGGGGGTGAGCTTTCATCTGAGGCCCGCGCAGCTATTATATACGCTCATGAATGTGGTGTATCGCCTACTAAAATGGCTACTGAGTTCAACGTCGCACGCTCAACAATATACTCTACAATCAAACGATTCCGAGAGCATCAAACGCTTAAATCACTGCCTCGTTCAGGTGCCCCTAAAGTCTATAGGTACTCTACTATTAAATATACCTGTTTACTTGCACGTCGTGAGCCTTGGCTAAGCCTTAGTGAGCTAAGCGCCCGTATACCCAGCCATCCATCTCGATCAGCAATCAAGCGATTCCTACGTTCAAAATTCCTCCAGCGCTATCGAGCAAGAGGTTGTACCCCAATTTCGAGGGAGAACGCCCGCAAACGAGTCCGATTTTGCCGAAATTGGAGGGCTGAACGCTACAATTCCCAACTACAAAGCTTTATATTTTCCGACGAATGCAGCGTTCAACGTATCCCTAATTTAAACGGCCAATACGTTACCCGGCTTAGAGGAGAAGCTTACCGGCAGGGAATGGTGCAAGTTAAGGCTCATGTGAAGGATATTTGTCAAATGGTTTGGGCTGGAATATGGCTCGGAGGGCGTACAAAACTTGTTATTATGGAGCGTGACTTTTCAGAAGGACAGCGAGGTCGCGGAGGTGGTTATACAACGAAATCCTACCTAAAAGCACTTGAAGAAGGGTTTATTGAACACTATGAGCCTGGAACTATATTTCAGCAAGATAACGCAAAAATCCACCGCTCCTATGTTGCTCAGCGATGGTTTGAACGTCATGGTATACATGTTATGGAATGGCCGCCACGCTCGCCAGATCTCAACCCTATTGAACCCGTGTGGCGTATGCTCAAACGTAAATTATATGAGCTCTATCCTAATCTACTACATTGTGGTACATCTGAGGCAGATTGGAAGCTATTTAGGGAGTGTATATCTGAGGCCTGGGATGCGCTAGATCAAAATAAAATTGATAGTATAATTAGATCGATGCCTCAGCGTGTAAGCGAGACTCGTAAGGTACGTGGCTACTATACTCGGTTTTAGCAATTGAAATTCTGTGATATACTTTGTAATTGATTATTCTATATTATAGCAAATTTTGGTGCAATAATATTGCATATTGCATGCAATATATATATTTGAATGTAGAGTGGTGAAATGGCAGAATTACCCGATTAGGCGGTGTCTTCAAACTTATGGCCCAAGGTGGTAATTTACGGCCGTGGATCTTGCGATGATAAAGGTCCGATGGCATCGCAAATTATAGCCGTTGAAGAACTGCGTAAACAAGGTCTCATCGAGCCCGAGGATGTCTCACTTCTTTTTGTCCTTGGAGAAGGCAAGGGTGGTGTCGGCATGTTTGCTGCTAATAACGTGAATTTGTCCTGGGAGACAGTTGTGTTTGCCGAGCCGACAGGCAACCTATTAGCAGTTCGTGTTGGCCGAGCTCGAGCAGGTCCGATTTCCATCTTCAGATACTCTTGGACCGTCTGCCTTCCACTGCGGCGAAATTGCCGACGGAGAAGGATACAATATTTTGGCACCCAAATGCACTGCTGTCTGCTCGGTGCGAGTAGCCAAGGACCTACCGAGGATTGAGCAGTTGATAGAAAAAAATAATCTCCCGCCACGAAAACGTACATCTTAATAAAATATTTGTGTATCCGGAGCTTTATCTGGACCATGACATACCTGGTGGGCACAATTGCGGTCTCCTTCGGCACAGACGCGCCGCGGCTCAAGGGGGAGCATAAGAGATATCTATATGACCGGGTACCATCCTGGTAGCACATGGGGAAAATGAGCACATCAGAATATCGGAGCTTATTGAGAGTATGCAGATCTACAAAAGAATTGTGAAGTTTTGTCTACGTGGTTGCAGCGATTGAGTGCTTTTTGGAGGCCCGAAGTGGCCCGTTTATACTATCATGAATTACTGGTATTCAGGGCAATCTATGATTCGCTCAGACAAGGTTAGGAATATCTTGACAACAGAGTTACTATACCAGGCTCAGCCTATTCGATTCCAAAAATAAATAAAGAGCGGTTCTATAGAAGCCGGGAGCGAAGGGAGGTTCGAACCAACTTTTGATAAGCCAACTCAGCGAACTGTATTCAATTGGATAAAATCCCCTCCCCCCCCCCCAAAAGAAAAAGAAATAGCATGCCATGGTGGACGACGATTGCATAAGCTTGAGTGGTCGAAATTCCTGGAATGTTATTCCCGGCTGTCTGGATAGTCAAAAATGCGATCGGCGTAGAAGCAGAAAATTCAAAGCCAGAAAACGCTTCTGAAGATACTGGCTCGATGCCAAGCGAAATCACCGATTTTGATAATTTTCAACGCTTCTATGAATTCAACATCCGGTAAATCTTTTTATGCTGCTCCAACAGCACCAGCGTGGCAATTGTTTGAGGACCCAAGCGAACAAAGCTTGGGGTCCATCCACGAAAAACCCACCTGGGACCCTCAACGTGCATCAGGTTTCGCACAACTTCAAAAACTGAAGTCTTATTTGAAGAGCTCATCAACTGAGTTCTGATGACATCCATGGGACTTGAAATTGAGGTTGCGACTAAACTCGCCAACAGAGAGGCAGCGAAGTGAATCAAAGGCCTTTCCTCATCTGTGTCGCATAATTTATGTATCAATCTTTTGAATGAATCATATGATGCCAATTGGCTGGCGGTCATAATCCCAGAGCGAAAGCAATTAGGCCACAATCCTTGCCGAAAAGATCTCCAACCCTCGGTTCGTTTCATCTGGACCCATGCATCGAGTACATTTCGATAGTTGCGGCGCTGCTGCTGCGGTAACGAGGCGTCATTCTGCATTCTAACATTTGCAATATCTGCAGGGGTGCCAAAAATAGCACCGATAAACCCCGATGATGCGGCCATAATCCCTAAAATGGGCGTTGAAAGCGGTTGGTTGGATTTTTTTGCACTTTGTTTCATCTCTTCATAGAGAGCAATGCGCGATGTACCATAGGTCACTTAGAATATTAGAATAGGTCATTCTGAAACGAGATTTTCTTTAAGGCTTACATGCTCGCATAAACCCAGCAGTAAGCTAATTCAAATTGACAGGTACCCCGTCAGCAATAAGACTTATAGATCTAGCAACTGTTTCCGAGAATCTGCCACACGACTTACACCATGATAAAATCCCTTGGCTCCTTCACCCTGAAGAATCCTCATGCCGGTAATAATAGTGCTCTGCTTAGTGCCGTTTGATACGGTTTGCATTCGCACCTTAACTGTTTTCTCGCAGCTTTAGATCATGGACAATGAAACACTCTTTTGTTGTACTTACTAAGGTCAAAAGGATGGGAAACAATCACAGCCACGCAAGAGGCCGATCCACCAAACCATCTTGGGTAACTGATGTTTTCTGCTTTGGAAGATAGTGCTGAACTTTCTGGCGCCGGAGGAATCCGCACTACTTTCGTTGTCGCCATTCTGAGTTATTGGTAGCAGATGCAATTTAATGCTTCAAAGGTAATCCTTTTGAATGCACTTGCTTGTGAGTTGCCGAATCTAATATCTTTTTTCTGACTGAAAGCCTCCTTGGTGGGACGTAATTAGTTCTCGGTAACTCCAAGACGCCTATATGCTTCGACCCGAGAGAGCGAGGGGAAGGCGATCTTGAATGCCTGAGGCATATTAGCCATAACTATTAGCCGCAACACTAACTAACTACCGAGGCAGTTTGACGCGGTAAGATGGTTTTCTTAGCGGATCAAAAAATCCTTGGTGTGTTTATTCTCGCTGGTGCTAACTAGTGTTACCAACTACAATGTCCGCCATCAACGCGCAAATCAGCGCCAGTCATAAAACTGCTTCCGTCCCCCAACATGAAGAGTACGGGTGCGCGAAACTCGTCTGCCGTGCTCAGACGGTATAGCATATTATCTCCGGTCCACTGAGACTCCATGCCTGGCTTTTGTAAAGATTCGGCAGTTGCAGCGGTGCGAATGTAGCCGGGAGATAGCGAATTGACTCTAATGAGTGGTATTTCGACTCTCGACCCCCACTCAGCAGCCAGAGAACGCGTGAGCTGGTGAACGGCGGCCTTGGATGCATTATAGCCGGCTGTGTCGACACCCTGGTACCACCCACCAGGTCAGCGAAAAATCGTAAAATATTCCGACTGATTATCTACCTTGTTAGAGCAATAACCGCTCATACTTGCAACCAGAACCATGCTTCCAGTGGTGTTCGTGCGGGTCATCTCTCGGGCTGTGGCTTGGGCGATTAGGAATGTTCCTGTAACATTGATATCTAGAACTTTTCTAAATGAAGAAGCCGGAAATTCAGTCGCAGGACCATTGAGTGACAACCCGGCGCAAGCGACAAGCCCCTTAACTGGGTAGCGTAGAGAAGGGACAAAATTTGCAAAGGTTTCCGAAACCGCATTTTCATCAGTAACATCGAGCTGGAGATATGACAGTTGACGTTGGTGCTTCTTTGCAGCATCTTCGACATAACCTATTTCCAAAATAAAATCAGTTCTATCACAGCATAAATCGAAACATCATGTGAATTCTTACTCCAATTAGCGGCGTTAGGTGTGGGAGAAAGATCGAGACAGACAATGTCGGCACCACTCTCAAAGATGGCGATTGCTAGAGTCGTTCCCAAGAAGCCCGATGCACCAGTGACTGTGGCCTTATAGTTAGTGATTATTCCGAATATTAACTGCTAAAATCGCAATAAATATCATACTGATGACGGTGCGATTGTCGAGACGGAAGAGTTCTGATACAGGTCGTGATGGATCTCCCTGCGAAGGCTTTGCTTCGCGATAATGCAAGGCATGGACATTTCCGTCGCTTGTTTGAGGCATATTGAATTCCTGCTTTATCACTCCTTGGGCTTTTCACCACCAAAGAAGAAAGCGAGCATTTAACTATCTCCAACCTGCCTTACTTCCCGATAAGAGGGGCTTCTCGGGAGACTGAGAGCCGGCTGTGCATCACACTATGCTGTTGCAACCCCCGCACGCGAATAATGAGATGGCCGCTCCAATTAGACGGCCCGTTCGTTCGGCTTTGCCGCTCTAGGATATGGAACGCGGAGTGTTGGGGGTCTGTCACTGGTGGCGAATTGGCCCCGGGCCGTCAGTTGGCCGCGATCGGATTGTCCGAGCGCACCTGGACATAATCTGTACTCCTAGGATTTAATTACTGGTACCTGCTACTAGTAACTACTAGCGTTTATCTATAAGGCGCATGTCACATTCTATGGGTGTAACTGACGTCTTCCACCTGTGCAGTCATTTCATCTCTAATTGCATCAGGAGCTGAATGCTGCACACGAATCATATAGCTGTCCAAAGAGTACTTTAGGTATTACCATGGTCTATTCCGATCATGCATGAGACAGAAAAGCCCAACAGAGTCTGTTTCGAAAGCCTGAAGTTGAATATTGTTGGAAAATTTGTCAGTGCTATTAAAACCTAAGAATGGGAATGAATTCATGGTGAAGGCTTGGAATAAATAGACAAAGTCGTCGGGAGCAAGCATCTTTACTTGGGCATTATCCATCGCTAAAATTTTCCGAGCAAGGTCCAAGGTTCTCCGCGAGGCAAACAGGGTTACCTGTATATCCTTTAGAAAGCACTGAGTTGGACATGACCTGCTGTGTTACTTGTCAGCTCGCAGGCATCCATTCTTATTCCTAAGAGGCCCATTTATTGAATATCGATAGCAATTATCCCACAGGCATGCTTAGATTATACAGGCCGGAGACTGGGAGCGCCTTAAGTTTAGACAAATATACCCCACGTTCAACTTGAAGTTTTAATTGTTCGAGAATCTCCCAGCTTTTCAAATGGAAGCTGAGACTTAGGTGCCTCAGACATAAAAGTTCGCCTTCTCCCGTTGCGGCCTCCTGAGGTAGGCTCTCTCTCTCTCCATTGCAGGGCCTACTAGTATATATCACCTATCGCTAGACATTCGCATATAATCGCAAATTTCGTAGTTCTGAGCTTCTGTCAGAAAGCGATTTCATTATTTGGGTGGTATGTTTTTCATTACGAATCAAAAAGCCATCGCGGAGCATTGGCATGAATGAAAATTGCTAATAAACGCAGATGATTTGAATTCAAGTCTGGCTGCCATCGACTTGTATAAGAAACTTGACCCCTTGGCCTTTTCGAGCTGCCTCCCATGCGTCAGGCGCCTGGTGGAATGGAAATACCTTGCTAACGAAAGCCTTCAAAGGGATTTTGCCCCGCCCGACTAAACTCGATGCCAATGCGAAATCCCCAGGGCCATACCGGAAGCAGCCCCTCAGTGTGATCTCTTTCTCACTCAGCACAACCAGTGGAAATTCCACTATCTTCTTCCCCAACCCGACCTGTACATATGACCCGCCCTTTTTAATCAATTCAATGCCGAGCTGAACAGATGAGGCCACCCCCGTCGCCTCGATGACAACGTCGGCCCCTTCCCGGAGCCCCTTCTCAGCAACAAGGGCCTCAGCATTCTTCTCTACCGAAATTGCTGCGTCGAACTGATGTGTGGATACTTCTAATTCTTCAGCTGCGAATCTCAGACGCTCATTGTTGATATCAACCACGGTAATCCGACCAGCACCAAATTCGCGTGCGACCGCACAAGACAGCAAACCCACTGGACCTGCACCAAGAACAAGAACCTCTTGTCCCGGCTTAAGCTTTGAAAGGCAGAGACCATGGATCGCGACCGCGAGAGGCTCAAATATAACCCCTTCGTCTAGCCCCAGATGATCTGGTATCTTATAACATAAATCACCTGGAAGACGGAAGAAGGTCGCCAAAGTTCCGTGGACAACAGGTCCAGGCCCAGGACTTGCTGCAAAGGCCATTTCCGGGCACAAATTATATTTCCCTGCCAGGCAGAACGAGCAATACCGGCAGGGGAATCCAGGCTCGATCGCAACTCGATCACCCACTTTCAACGTTGTGACTGCAGACCCAATAGCCGCCACCACACCCGAAGCTTCATGGCCGAGAGTGACTGGGAATCCAGGGCGGATCATCTCATTTATCCCCCCCATGCACCCAGAAGTGAACCTAGTAGTACCTAATGAGCTGACTACTCTATTAGCAACCTGGGATGTGATCAAATACATACATCACTGCCACAAACTCCGGTGTACGAAATTCGAATTAAAACATCTCGTGGAGAGTCCTCGAGGGATGGCGTGGGAATATTTTCGAACCGCGCATCCCCAGCACCGTAGAGAAGACATGCTTGATTCTTTTCAGAAACCATATTATTGATTATCAACACGAATAAATTCGAAAATGCACCAATATGCTTGATCTGGAGACTGGGAGAATGATCGATTTATGTCTCAACGTCTTACTGACAGCGAGGCTTGACATGCTATCTACCAGAACGTGACATGGCCCAAGACCTAGGTACCCCTCCCAAGTGCTTAGACGTTATTTATTTCGTCGGCGTGGACACGGCCCGTGTTGACTGTGCTGCGTGAGGCCGTCCATGTAGGGGAATTCCTAAGCCGATCCTCCACTTTCAAGGTCAATGGGGACACGCTTTGTTCTTGAAGCACAGGCATTATAAAAGGAGAACAAAACGCCTGTCTGCAAACAGCTCTCCAAAAAATTTGATGAATTATTTTGAGCCTCCAGTGTTTATGTGAGGAGTCGAGGATCTCTTTTACTTTTCATCATTCTGAGCCGTCCATCATGAGTTCCCCGGATATCGGCAAACGAGCCTGGCACCGCACCACCATTTTCAACATTTCGATTGTTGCAGTATGCGCTTTCATTGCACCCGGCCTATGGGCTGCAATGAACGGATTAGGAGGAGCAGGCTCAGCAGATCCTTATTACGTGAATGCTGCCAATGCAGTTATCTTTTGTCTGCAGTTTGTGGTCTGCATATTCGGGAGTTCTCTTATAGCAAAGATCGGCCTCAAATGGGCTTTTTCAGTTGGCATGATCGGATTTCCAATTTATGCCTCTAGTGTGTATTGCAATATCAAATACAACAACACATGGTACATTATGCTTGCTTGTGTGATTGATGGCATCTCGTCAGGCATATTTTGGTTGACGGAAGGCGCAATTGTGCTGGCATACCCAGAAAAGCATCGGCGGGGAAAATACCTGGCTTATTGGCTTGCTAGTCGCATAGTGGGACAGATGATCGGTGGCGCTGTCACATTAGGGGTGAATGCCGAAAATAAAGAGAAGGGTCATATCAGTGTCCAGACCTACCTTGTATTCATTGCAATCCAAGCCATTGGACCGTTCATCGCAGCAATGCTATCCTCGCCTGAGAAGGTACAACGGTCCGACCGGACCAAAGTCATTATTAATTTACCACAAGGCCTCAATACTGAGCTTCGGGCTATGTGGAAACTTTTGGGGAGAAGAGAATTACTACTTCTCTTACCCATGATCTTCCAAAGCGTTTTTTCAGAAGCTTTCTTTTCGACCTACAATGCGACCTATTTTACCGTACGAGCACGCGCACTAACGTCTTTGGTGGCTAGCACATGCGTGATCCTTGCTAATTTTCTTTTGGGCTTTTTTCTGGACTGGCGCAAACTGACTCTGAACACACGTGCAGTGGGCGCCTTCGTGATCATTTATGCATTCGAGCTGTCTCTTTATATTTACGCGATGGTCGTCACCAAAGAATATGAGCGACAAGCAACTCCCAGAATTTTTGATTGGACCGACGATGGATTCGGGCGAGGTGCTTGTGTTTATATTTTGATGCTTGTTGGATTCAATCTTATGTACGACTATCTATACTGGCTCATCGGCACAATCAACCGTGATGGTGGTGATATTATCCGACTGAGTGCCGTTGTCCGGGGCGTCGAAAGCTGTGGACAAGCCATATCATACGGCATTAATTCAATTGACACCTTCAAGCTGTCTGGGGCTGTTGCAGTGAATTTGTCATTTTTCGCTGTTTGCATTATTCCATCAGCAATTGTCATTTTCCGCGTTGGCATCATCGACGGAGTCAAATTACACAACATCCAACAAGACGATATATTGCAGGTCGGAATTTCCAATAATGAGATGGGCGCAGATTCACCCCAGGCTGATTGCTCCAGTACTTGCGGCTCCACATGGGGTGATTCGAAATGAATACATCACGAAATGATTCAAATTATCAATTGGAAGCCATCGTGACTTGGGCCATTTGTATCTCGATCAAGTCTAATCTAGAGGTTCTCTTAGAATTTTCTAATGGTTTCCTGGATCGGTGCTGGAAATTACGTTATGGGTTCCTGAACAACTAATTAGCGACTGTTTTCACTTGATCCACTCAATCATGCAGTGCCGAGGTTGACGTTGCGCGAAGTTTTTATAAGGATGCAATTAATCAGCGGCCCTAGCTCTATTTTTCCTTTGCGATGTTTGGGGTTAAGAAGTTCGAATTACTTGTCGACATGGTTCTATTTATGGCGCGATATTCATTGCGTGCTGGGGTCTACGTATTACTCCAATGTGAAATAACCCCCGCAGTATAAATATAAGTTCGACAAAATACTCCGAGACCATTAGATTCCAAGTTCACCGCTCAGAATAATGGGCAGCATAGCAACGAACCCCTTCCAAGACGTCCCTGCAGGGCGCGTAGGTAAAGTTAACCACTATCTTTTATCAATTTATATTGATCTAACAAGTTTAGAGAGCCTGCAAAAACTCGTTACTCTATTTCGCGAAGATAATGATCCGAAAAAGACCGATCTTCTTGTAGGGGTTTACAAAACTGATGAAGGAAAAGCTTATGTACAGCCCAGTGTAAAAGAGGTATGACGTTTGAATATGGATTGACTCAAGAGCAACGAAAACAGGAAAGAATATCAAATCTAAGTCTTAATACAGGCAAAGAGAAGATTGTTTCATGACAATGACTGGCATCACGAGTACCGTGCTTCTGCTTTGGGGTCGATCGGCTATAGAGCCTTAAGTAACAAGTTGCTCTTCGGCCCCGATAGCCGTCTTGTGCAAGAGAATAGGTAATTTGACCCTATATCCATCGACAATATTGGCGCAGAGTTTAATTATAATTATACAGAATCGTCACAGCGCAGACTCTAGGTGCAAGCGGGGGATGCCACGTTGGCGCGGTTTTTTTGAAGCTGCATTATGGTCCCTGGAAAAACATAGACGCTCCTGAGATCTTTCTTCCAGGCGATACATGGTGTAGGTTGCCCTTGAACTACCACCCTGAGAATCATACTGACTGAAATTTAGTGAACCATCCATTTGTCTTCCAATCCGCAGGAATTAAGCCAAGTTTTCTCCCTTATTTTTCCAGCAAAACGAACAAATTCGATTTTGAGGCATTCTCAGCGGCCGTGTTGTCGCTACCACCTCATTCTGTTGTTCTTTTGCAGTCAGGAGCCCAGAACCCCACTGGATGCGATCCTTCTCCGGAACAGTGGCGAGCTTTATCATCCATATTTCTTCAACGTGGTCATCTGGCCTTTTTTGATGCTGCGTACCCCGGATTTGCATCGGGAGACATCGATGAAGATCTTGAAGGTGTCCGCCTTTTCGCCGATCTGGAAATACCGCTTATTTTTGTTTCGACGTATGGAAAATGCTTCGGGTTATACAGCGAGCGCGTTGGAATACTCTCCATTCTTGTGCCAAGTGAGGAAGTCGGGAGAAGAATTGAGACTCAACTGCGACTTCTCGCACGAGCAGAGAGCGGGGCACCTCCCGACTTTGGGTCGAAGATAGTCGAAACAGTTCTATCGGATGGCGATCTTGAGCGCCGTTGGCGAGAGGAAGTGCGTGGCATGGCGATCGGACTCAAAAGCCGTCGTCGGGCTCTTAGAGAAGCATTGGAGAGTCTGAAAACCCCAGGGGACTGGCAGCACCTTACTGATCAGAATGGAATGTTCTCGTGAGTGACTTTCTGCAAAAACGGACCGCAAGAGAGTTCTGATACTGATCCTTTTTGTTCAGTTACCTTGGTCTGTCCAAGGAACAAGTTGATATTTTGCAGAAAAGGTATCACGTTTATGTCCAAGACTCGGGAAGAATATCTATTGCGTATGTCTAAAAAACCCCTTGGAGAATGGCAATTATTCTAACGTATTCTTATTTTTAGAGGACTTAACCGCTTCAACATCGACTATACTGCTTCCAGTATCAGCGCTGCTGTTAAAGAGACGAGTTCGATTTGAACCTGTACTCGCATGCGACTGCCTAAGTACTAGTCTAATTGATGATCTGGATTCTTGAAACGCGCATGCGGTCGCGCAGAATATCCATACTTCTCTCCTGAGGTTTGAATAAAGCGTCTGAAATAGCGCATTCAAGTTCATATTTATTAAACTGTTCTTCTGAGATTTTGGTCGCCTTTTACTTCGCTTTCTACTTTTGAATGTTATGCTATGTCATGGGAAAGAATTCATGACTCTTTGAGGCTCGTTTCTGATATCTTGAAATATCAAATAAAAATAAGATACGTAAGGGGCTCATATGAACAAAATATAGACCCCAAAAACCGGTCATTGTGGTTATCGTAGGTTGGTTATTTAGCGAGCAGCAAACATCTTGTATCTAGGTCAGACCATACTCCTTGATCAACTTCTCAGCGCATGTTGCGCCGGTAACATATGCTACTGCTTGGACATGGGCGTTGACCAATACTGGCACAACACCCATATCAGCTATCCGCAGGTTGTCAATACCAATAACCTTGAAGTCCGGATCAACAACGGCATCGGTATCGCCATTCTTGCCCATTTTAACGGTTCCTGTCATATGCCAGCTTGAAGAAATATTCTGTCGCCAGTATTCGAGTAAATCTTCATCCGACTCTCCCTTAGGCATGGCGAGCTCAGCGACATTGTCCTTCGTGTAGGATTCGTGCTTGGCAACGCGGAAAGAGTCTCGCAAAGCTTCAATCGCAAGCCGACGATCGAACGGGTGGGCGAGGAATTTCGGGTTGAAAAGGAGCGGAGCATCGGGGTCTGACGACTGTAAAGTGACTTCTCCACGAGTCTGCGCATTGAACAAGAAGACAAGCAGGCAAGAATAATTTAAGGCCTCGGTCGGGAAGTCTGGAATGAACCAATGAATAGGGAAATGGGTAATGATTTCGTAGTGCGGCACGGTCTCTTGAAGGAGGTGTTTTTGCTCATCCGCTGGGAGTGCTCGGAACTCTGGCGTAGAAATGAGCTGCTCGGTAAGCTTGAACCAGCCAATACCCAATTCACAGGCGAACTTTGCCCACGGACCAGTTCCGCTCTCTTCCCATTCTTTTTTGGCAGCATTCATGGCAGATTGGGAGCCATAAAAAGCCTTCCGGTCCGTACTGGTATCAGTGCGAGTGTTGACCATTGGCACGAAGCAATGATCGCGCAGTCCTTGTCCCACAGCAGGCGTGTCTTGAACAATGTCGATATTATGTTGTTGTAATTGAGCAGCCGGGCCGATTCCCGAATGCATCAAGATGCGAGGGTCGTTGAGCGATCCCGCGGAAAGGATGACCTCTTTTGAAGCATAATCTATATGAATGCCGGATTAGAATACGGGGATAGAATTTGATAGGAGCAGACTTGGAAATCAAATATGCTGGACTCACATTTCTGGCCGTTCGCCTCGACGCCCACGGCCTTTTTCCCTTCCAAAATCACACGCTGCACTGGGGCATCGGTTGCAATCGTCAAATTATTCTTGTCGCCAGCGACAAGATCCTCTGCTGTCGATCGCAAACCTTGATGAGCCGAGTTGATCAGCACCGACATTCCAATGGGGTTACCAGAGTTATGGTCGGGGTTCAGGGGAACCCAGCTTCCTCGAAAACATCCAATAGTTCTGGCAAGTCTCTTTCCCATTCCCGTGCGAAGCCAACTTGAAGTGGGCCTTTATTGCCATGGTCATCTACCTTTGGGTTGGCGTATTTCTTGTCCATGCCCTTTCGGGATCTCTCCGTGAAAGGTTTCGAGATCCTTCAATCTCCTCTGGATATTTTGCCACCCAAAGTCCTCATCGTCAACAATGCGCGCCCATTCCTGATAGTCATCGCGTGCGCCGACACTGTAAACGCCAAAGTTGATGGCGCTTGATCCACCCATACAACGGCCGCGGCTATAGTCAATCTCGCGGTGATTGCAGTCTTCCTGTGGAGTAGTCTTAAAGCCCCAGTTCATGGATTGATTCTGGAAAGTGATCCATCGCTGCCCATCCACACGAAGACTCTTATCTTGTTTATTTTCACCTGCTTCCAGGAGGAGGACTTGAGGTTTTCCATTCGAGTTGGCAAGCTGAGCGGCGAGTGCACTACCAGCTGGACCACCTAGGAGTGAAGAAAAGTCAGCACTGGCATAGCGGGGTCAAATCTCCAATGGGGAGGGGGAGTTCCAAGGTTTCGTATTCCCACCCGTCGGAGCTTATCTTATTTTCAGGGACATTGGGAAAGGCATTCGGAAAGAAGTGGAAACCTTCTTCAAAGGCTATTACTCACTTCCGACAATAATAAAATCGAATGTAGACATCTTGAGCGGAGAAAATTAAATCAATAGTAACGACGAAGCAATAAGGCTAGTTGGGGTCAAACCTACGACTTCTCCATCTAGCTGGGGGAGATAGAAATATATACTTTAGCCTTCCTGTTAGTGACGTGTCAACGGAGATGAACCGACTTCGCGTGGCCCGTTGGGGATCTTAGTCGAAGTTTGAGCCCCTGAGCTGCAGCCCCTGGGATTTAACTGTCGGTCAACTGTCCGTAGCGAAGGAAAGTGGATGGTTCAGGCAAAACACCCCCACCATGAAGCCTTATTCGACAACGTGCTGGCACTTGGCGGGCCGACACGAGCTCCGCTTCCCCTGTTGATGTGGATCCGGTGGCGCGACAGCTGTGGAAATATGATGATCTTGCTTTTAATGAATAGTTTGGTCTGCCAATGACAGGATGGCAGTAAAAATAAATTTTACGTACGGAGTACTGTTCCTTGTAATCCGTATCCGTAAGCGTCTCCAATGAATCGATTTTAGACTAGCGGGATGGTGATCCCCAAACGGACGGAATGGATCCGTGAAGATCCTGTTTTGATCTTTCGGCAGTCACATTTTCTTTTTATTGTTCCTTTGATCTTTGCTCCTCTCACCTTGACCTCTCTCATTCTCCTACGTCTAAGACTCCTCATCGAGGAACCGTGATAATGGGAGGCAATGTCGAGTCATGGGTATTGCTTTCTATAGCCCTGTTCACAATCATCGTCCGTATATTTGTACGATGGAAGCTCGTTGGACCGTCCCATTTCCAGCTCGATGACTATCTCATGCCGTTAGCGGGGGTATGTTCCCGTTCCCGTCTCCTTTTACCTTGTTCGCGCTAAGACAATCCTGCACAGGTAGTTTTCATCTTGGAGACAGTAGCGGCGTACCTCGTCGTTGCCAATTACGAAGGCTTGACAAATAGCTACATGACAAACGGGGAGCGAGAAAATATCGATCCTTCATCCAGGGAGTGGTATAATAGGGTTGCTGGTTCGAAAATTCAGATAATCGGTTGGTCGCTATACACGGCAATTCTGTGGCTGGTCAAAATTAGCCTGGCAGTCTTTTATTCTCGATTAACGTACGACTCACACCAGACGTTCGATTATGCTAGAGAAGAAATATGCTGATCAATTTACAGTACGGGTCTTCAAAGTCTGCCCACACGTGTCCGAATCGCCTATGTAATCTTGGGTGTGACGTGGATCGCAACCCAGCTATCTCTTCTTTTATCATGCCAACCCTTCCATGCATTTTGGCAGGTAGCCCCAAATCCCGGCAGTAAGTATTAATCTCAGAATCAGTAACAAGCACACTTCTCACTGTTTAATACGCAGAATATTGCCAACCAACGAACTCCCCAGTATACGTTTTGGTCGTCATGATACTCAACATCGCTACTGATATCTATCTCCTTTCAATTCCTTTACCTCTTCTTTGGACGGTCAATATCAGCTTGAAGCGCAAGATTCCTCTCATGGCATTATTCTCCGGGGCTGCATTCGTCATCACAGCATCCATTATTCGAGGGGTTACCATTATGAGTGTGAGTTCTCCTATGAAACGCGGTTTCGCCTTCGAAGACACACTTTCTGACAAAGGTCGTACAGTCGGGCCCGAATGGTGCGGCATCGGGGTCTCAATGGGCTTGCCGCGAAACATTCGTTTCAATTATTGTTTCTAACCTACCCATCATCCAACCACTTCTTCGAAAGGGATTCAAGAAGATCGGTCTTGCTTCCTTCTTCAGTTCCTCGAACAAACCATCAGGTCAATCTTACCCGCTCTCAGGCTTGAAGACCTTGACGAATCGCGGTGACCGTGACACCAAGAAGGGTAAAGGCAGTGCGGCTGCACCGTCACACATGCAGGTTTCGGCGTGGGGAAGTGACGAGCATATTCTTACAGAACCAGAGCACTCTTCGAAGGACATCACGGTAGTCTCAGAGACGGTTGTGCAGAGTGAGCCATGGAACTGGGAAGGACCTGGTGGTGCGCATTCGACTACACCACCAAAGGAATGGAGAGGCCAGTTACCTGACCGGTGAATGACGGCGGTCAATTGTGATGCAGTTGCATGTGAAGAACTTATGAAGAGGGATAACAGGACTCCAAAAGTACTATAGTTAATATCAATTCCGCAGATTTTGCGCTACCAATTTACCTTTTTGCCAGGGCATTTTCAATACCACGCGAAGTTGATGTTGTAACTATAGTGTATGCTTTTGTAACAGTCAGGCCGTTTTGAGCTTAACTTAAAAAGCTAGATCCGATTTACCTAATTTTTGGACTGTCTGAGATTATTGTATTTCCCAAATGAACAAAGTGGGATCTCATTCGGAGTCTCCAATCTCTGCTTTAGTACAATCCGATGTCACAGGCATCTGGGCACGACCTCGATCATCAAGTGTACTATCCATTGGCAGGTGCTTTCATGTTATTGCCTGAGATCTCAGGCCCCAGAATCTGACACCCGCATCTATATACTATATGGTCTTTCTCGATTACATCTGCTCATTCTTTGCTTTGTATTTTCGTTATTGCTACTAGTAGATCTCTGTAATTTATCTTCATATAAGTAGGCTGTTGACTACGGCGCAGATTAAGCTACAAAGTATTAATGCCTCCCCGACCTTGAAAATTCACATTACGTCCTTTGTATCTTAAGGAACAACGCTGAGACCGGCGACTGACAGTGTATTTTGGCCATTCTGAGCCGCCGGTGATAATGCAAACTTCTCTTCCTGCATTGTGTTTGCATCACATGTATTATCAGGTGCATATGCGCTGCCGTTGCCCGAGGAGTGAATGCAGGTAAGCTAATTAGCCAGATCATTCAATCGAGATACGACATAGCAAGTCAAGATAGTGTATAATCGCCAGCCCTCGTATAAATAACGCGTTTTCTTTATAGGTCCGGCTTTTCACGAGATGTTGCTTCTACCTACGTACCGGATTTCCCATCCAAAGTCTTGGCTTTCCCCTTCCGTTTTAGTGCTCAGTGAGCGCCGCTTTTGCTCACTGAGTAGATCTGAGCACGTCTCAGAGCGCGCTGAGCGGATCAGTGATCATTACGTGACTACTCTGAGCTGCTCTTTGATCCCTCTGATCTGCTCAGTGAGTCTGATCTGAGCACTCTGATTTACTCTCTGAGCATTGCTTATATGAGAGCCAGCGGTCTGACTAAAAGTAACTCAATAAAACGCAACGCGCTACCCCTCACAAAAGTCCCTCGCTATTTTTAGAATGTCTCAAATAGGCCATCAAAAAAAAGGTACGTATCATAAACAGCCGCAAACTTGCGTAGCAAGATTAGCTCCTGGGAGCAAACGTACCGAGTAGTTCACCTCATTATCCTATGAATAAAATTCTGGCTACAGTCTGTAAGCTCCTGGGAACAACTCATTAAGTTTTCTTAGTATGCTGCTTCCTGCAGAAGTCAATGGCCAGAGAGCTAGAGAGCCAATTTTCTAATTTTCCAATTAGATCTATATATATTTAAACCAGTTAACAGAGAAGTAGCTTGTAGTACTACAATGGCCTCCTTGTGGCTAAATGCTACTGACGAAGATAGTCTCGTAGGAAAATTAATCCTATAACTCTCCTGAGCCAAGATAGGGCGAGATTTCTTATAGCGGCCAATAAGCAGGCAAAAAGGCTATAGTACTTTGCTACTCCTAGGAGCTTGAATTTTGATTATTACCTTTACTTTCTTCTCCTACTCCTCTACAGATACAGATCACAGATCCTGGGAGCAAAGAGAATATAATAAGCCTCGTAATTATATTGAGGGCCTATGAAAAAGCTATGCTTCAGAAGCTATATTCAATGCGGGTGTTTACCTCAGTATCCTTAATTATGAATACTGAATATTTTAATTTTCTCCTTTGAATATAATGTATAAGTAGTTCAATATCGCCCCTCTCTATAGAATAAATCGAAACCTCTCCCTACCAGTGCTGTACTACTGTATCTGATTTTATTCAGTCTTTTGATTCGTAATTACTATATATCTCCTATAAGGTATTTAAAAATCAAACAAATATTATCCTTTAAAGTGCTTAGAGCGGTATGAATTAATCAGTATGGTTTCGGCAGAGAATAAAAGTGAGAATATTGATAGCTTTCGTTTTATTGATCTGTATGACTCTTGCTAATTTGTCTGTTAAAGTAGGTCCTAGGTATTATATAATTTTTAATCTTGATGCTACTATATATCTGTTCATTCAAGAAAAAATTAACAAAAGTGGCGGTGGCTTGGAACGTTTAGATTCTAAATCTACAGGAACCTTGGTTGCTACCTTGGTAGCCTGTATAGAAGAAACCGGGATACCAGAGCGTATCCTAGCGGAAAATAATTTAATTAAGCCTTAGGAAATAGGGTACAAGAGAGCGATTGATTGTGTGGAACCTTCGCTATAGGAGAGTGGAAAAAGGATAAGAGTTTTGTACCCCCTTCAGGGAGCTTTTAAAGATAATTAATCTATAAGCAAGAAACGAGGAAAAAGTCCTATCCTACCCTTAGAGAAGTAATCAGTCAGCAAAGAGCTGATCCTAAATATACGCTAATATTTGGAAATAATGATGAACTATCTTAATTCTGCAATACGAGGTATATTATCTGAGATAATACCAGAGATAAAGGCACTATTGTAACTTACGACTAAATTGCTGCTGCAGAAGCACAATATAGAGACTAAATAAATAGAATTAGGAGCAGATTTCGTAGAAGATACGGCTCCTAAATATAAGAAAACGGAATTTATCTTTAAGAAATATACTGATGAGAATGGTAAGCGCTACAGCTGAAAAGTCAGAAAAGGATTTCTGTAAGCCGCTTAGTGAAATTACCTAATAACAACTAAGACTGTTAAGATGAGAGGGAAAGAATTAATCTATATATTTATAGGGCTACTAAGAGTCAACAAGGTTGAATATGTATGGCCGGACAACTTTAATTAGTTCTTAAGGAAAGCATAAGTCTGGGCTTCTGTTTATCCTATTTACTGTTGGGCTGCCTTATATAGTACTGGTTTAGTATTTTACTTTGTATATAAGGTAATTAACACTGCCACAATAAATTACTTAAAGCTACATCAGTTAAGAATACATTACGTATCAATATATACGTAAATATCTGTATCTCTGTCAGTATGAAGACGTGTCAGTAATTATATTTACTAGTCAAAACACTGACGATCAAAGTAATACTCAAAGGCTACTAAGCATAAGTAATAACCAGGCTACAGGCTCAGAATATACTATTTGCAGTAATTGCACAATCTTATTTCATTAGATACCTGCCCATAAGCAGCTTGTCCAGCAAGGGGTAAAGGCTCATAACCAGGTCAGCACAAAGATATGACGAGTCCAAATTTAGCTGATTATTATTTGCAAAAATCCAATCCTGGGACTGTTTTTCTCCATCCAAAATAATACATACCGCAAGAAACCAATTTTTTTTTTAAGTTGCTCCGAGAAGATACAATAAGATTTTGGAGGTTGACAGGCCACTAAAAGAAGCTGCCCAAATACTGTTCGGTATCTGACGACTATGCTTAAGTATAAAAGGATCTCTTCTATAGAACCCAACCAGCCAATCTAATTCCTTCTCTGAGATTAATAGCTAATCTATATCAGAAAAGAAAATCAATTCATGATATGTTATCTAGATAAAGAGCTTGGAGTCATTACCAGAATCTCTGAAGCTCCTGGGAATCAAAAGAACCATCGATAAGACTTCTGATAGGTCTAGTTGAGTATGCTAATCTGCTCGCTGTATTCCACACAAAAATTCTTAAGAATAGATTTTCGAACGGGCCATAGAGCTAATAATAGACTCAAGTTACGAAGCAACCATACTGGATCACATACACAAGGCCCGTCTATCTGTAATAGCCACAGACAGGCTGAGTTGGTGAAGTTGAAGAATAAAAGAAAGATTATACTCTAGAAAGAGTACAGTAAGCTATCTTTAATTACTGTCATATCAGATATATACTAAATAAATCAAGAATAGACAAGATAAATCTAAACCACATACAGGATCACCTTTTCCTAGCACTAGCTTAATTAAAGGGTTCACCCTATAGTACTGCATATCGTAGGTATAGAACGACGTATTTACAAAGATAAAAAGCCTAACGGTTAGAAGTACTCATCTATACCAAGAAACTATTTTATAGACTTTAAAATAGAAAAACACCATATTAATTCGAAAAGTATAGAAATTTGATTTTTTCAGGTAATCCTCAGTATAAGTAAGATATTCTAAACTTTAATATAGTAGAGAGTGTACTTAAAAGAGAGTGCTTAAAAGAGGGTGCTCAAAAGAGGGTGCTCAAAAGAGGGTGCTCAAAAGAGGGTGCTCAAAAGAGGGTGCTCAAAAGAGGGTGCTCAAAAGAGGGTGCTCAAAAGAGGGTGCTCAAAAGTAGGTGCTTAAAAGAGGGTGCTTTTCAAGATGGTGCTTAAAAGATGGTGCTTAAAAGATGGTGCTTAAAAGAGGGTGCTTAAAAGAGGGTGCTTAAAAGAGGGTGCTTAAAAGAGGGTGCTTAAAAAGGCTAAATAGAATAAGTATACATTAAAGTCTTTAATAAGCATACCAAAGAAGCTGAACCCTAATAAATCTTTATATGTTAAAGAGAAAATACATACGCTAATTTAAAGAGGCTTTTAAATTATACAATATTTCTATTTTCTCTATCTGTTTTTAAGATATATAAAGCTATATTGTATACCACTAGGAGAACTACAGTTAATATTGTAGCCTATATGTCTTGCTAATACCTATAATTAATCTCTGATTACCCCCAATAAGTATATCGTAAACCGCCTAAATTTAGTCTCTGAGGCTATATTATCTTGTCTGTCTCTATTATCATTATTATATAAATCTACCTAGCTAGATCTTCAGAACTATAGGATATCAGAGTATAAGTAACAAGATAGGTATATACTCATTCGGTTAGCTTAATAACTAAAATAAATAAGCTGACTGAGGCAGAAATAACTAATTCGATAGGTATAATGCCAAAGTATATAATAAAAA